CAAGATAAGTCATTGGAGGAGATACAGGCACAAGCGGAAGAGGCACAAGACGACGAGAGCCCCGCACTTCAACCAGGCGAACAACCACGCAGCTTAGTGTGCAATGAGTGTGGCAAGAAGTTCCGAGGCCAGTCACAGGCCGAGTTCCACGCATCAAAGTCGGGACATGTTGATTTTGCTGAGTCTACTGAGGAGATTGCTCCGTTAACCGAGGAGCAAAAGAAGCAGAGATTGACAGAGCTGCGGGAGAAGCTTGCGGCGAAGCGTGCAGGACTCTCGGAACAGGACAAGATTGACAAGAAGAAGAATGAGGTGTGTATCCCTTGTTTTGGTCCCTTCAATTTACTGATTAGAACCATTTTGCTGACTTTTATCATCAGGAAATCCGAAGGAAGAGCACCAAAGAAAGTCAAGATGCCAAGGAGGACCTCGAGCGGAAGCAACAGTTGAAGGAAGCAGCCAAGAAGAAGAAGGAAAAGCAGGATGAAATCGATGCCAAGAAGCGCATCAAGGCAAAGATCGAGGCCGACAAGGAGGAGCGCCGATTGAAGGCAGAGAAGCAGCGAGCTGAGCGTGCCGGTGTGGCTCCTCCTCCCCAACCTGCCGCCGCCCCAGCACCCACTTCCTCCGGTCCCGCTACGTCTAAACCTGCCTCCGCCTACACGGAAACTCGGTTGCGATTCCAATCATCCAAGGGCAACACCATGAAGACACTGCCCGTTGACACCACGTTGTTTGAGGTCGCCGTTGCATTGAGGGAACAGGATGGGATTGAGGTCCAGAGCTTTGTGCAGAATTTCCCTAAGAAGGTGTATGATAATGAGTTCTTCGGAGAGACATTGAAGGAACTAGGACTTGTTCCTAGTGCTAGTCTCGTCATCCAATGACTGATGCCCAGAGGATAGATAGCTTTTACATTGAATGAGAAATGAGATGAACCCCTGAATAGCCTCCAAACGTGAACCACAGCCCCATTAATCTCCAAGTATCCTTAAGCAGTAATGTGTTGAATCGACTTGGTTCACGAAGCTCTCTATTCTTTATCTTATCGCGTTATCGTCATGTGATGTCGCGATGAGCCGCGTCTTGGTGTTTGGCAACGCGCTCGCTCAACAGGCTGTCATTACATCTCTAATACCGAACTTGACATTCATTCGCAACAAAATATGCCAGCGTGAGACTCAATACCCAGGACCCGGAAAATGTCATATCCCATGGAACCGAGCACTGATAGTGATAATCTCAGCGTTGGTGACCAACATCGCGGTGGTGCGGGATCTACAATGATGCCGAACGCTACAGCAGCCGCCACAGCAAACCCATTCGAGGAACCCCAACGCCGCATCAGCGAATACACCGCACAGGAAATAGCAACATTACAAGCTCGTCTTGATAAAAAATTGGGACCCGAATACATCTCTGCACGCCCTGGTGCTGCGGGGCAGAAAGTGCACTATCTCTCCGCGGACAAATGCATTAACCTTGCGAACGAGGTGTTTGGATTCAATGGCTGGTCTAGCTCAATTCAAACGATTCAGATTGATTTTGTGCGTTGATCATACACTTCTCAGCTACCGTGAGGGTCGGCTAATGCTTATCAGGTTGAGGAGAATCAAAACACGGGGAGGATCAGCCTGGGACTTTCAGTTATCATGAGAGTAACCCTGAGGGATGGAACCTTTCATGAGGTAAAGGAAACTCTTCAAGATATGAATTTGTTGGTGCGTTGTTGTGTTAACTCCATCCCTCTTCTAGGATATTGGCTACGGGCACATCGAAAACTGCAAGGGCAAGGCCGCAGCTTTTGAGAAGGCCAAAAAAGAAGGTACAACAGATGCTTTGAAACGTGCATTGAGAAACTTTGGCAACGTGCTGGGCAACTGTATCTATGATAAGGATTATGTGGCCAAGGTGACCAAAATCAAGGCAGCGCCTGTAAGGTCCCCGATGTCCTCCAATTGGCGATGTGCCATGCTGACTTTCACAATAGGGAAGATGGGACGTCAACGATCTTCACCGTCACCCTGACTTCGGGCCACCTGCTAAGAAACCGCTGCCTCCACCCAAACGTGCACCCGAAGAGGATGATCTACCCCTTCCACGCCCTATACATCAAGCTAGAGGCAACAATCCTGGGAATAATACTTCTTTCGATGGAGATGGAGAATTTGGCAGTATGTATTAAGAAAAACACAACCTTGGACCTTGGCTAATCGTTTCTAGGTGACCTCTTTGACGAAGCCGATTTTGGGGTAGCCGAGACCGATATAGGGAATCCGGATGAAATCGTAATAGATACGGAGACTCATCGAGAACCGCAGCGCCCCGTGTCAACGAACGGTCCAGCGCCTCAGCGAGGACCGCCTGTTCGAGCAGGATTCAACGCCGCTGCCGTAACACCGTCAAAACCAGAGCGATGGAACGGCACAGGCCAAGCGGGAAGACCCAATCCTCTAAATGCGCGTCAGAACCAATCGGCTATCCCATCTCCAGCCGCGGTACAAGGCCGACCAATGCCCGGTCAAGGTCCTGCTCAAAATATTGCGAACCCCAGACCATCAGCCCCACCACAACAACCGGTTGGTCAGAATGTCCCACAAAACAACATCCCCCAGCCTCCGGTGAAAAGGGAAGCCGGTCCCGGGGGGCTTCAAGGAAACCAGGACATGAACCCACCACAAGGCACACCGTCAACGGGTTTCTATTCCGCCAGAGCAGTGGACCTTCTCCGTGACAATCCAAATTCTGTCCCGTCAGGAGCACCTCAATTTGATCCACACGCAGAGAGTCCCTCCATCCGCAAGACGGCTGGTGTAGACCATACAAAAAGTATTCCTATTGCTAGGCCCATGCTGTCGAGTGCCTCCCCAGCACCCACCACCAATAACAATAACAACAGCAACAGCAATAGCAACAACAGCACACGCGATTTTGTCAATCCTGCAACTGATATGCAGCGAAGAGTCGGTGCGCCTGGCGGTGGAGTCAGTAGTCCGGTCAGCAGAGGCCCTTCTGTTTCATCGTATAGACCATTGACTCGACCCAACATCGACCAAAGGAACGTTTCCAACCCAGCAGCAATGAATCGAGGAAGTGTGCCACCCCAGCAGAATCTCAACGGAAAACGACCTCCCTTGGTGGATGTCACCAATGGCGATGCTACACCTGGCGCATATCCAGGGGTCCCGGCACCCGGTCCAAATGACCCAAAACGGCCCCGAGTCTCGGACGTTGACTCTGGACCTTCTGGGCCTCGCCCACCAACCAAGTAATGAACATGACCTGATTTGTCTTCTGTGCCCTCAGGGGTGCATTACCGCGCAATTTCCAACTACAAGCGTTCCTATTTCATCGAGATTTCTTTTTTATATTTACTTCTGGCCCGTGGCGTCAAGACATGGTTATGGGGAAGTAGGCAGGCGTTCCGGAATTCTTAGATCTTAAAGCAAATGGATCCACAGGATCCCAGCGGGGGAAAACACATGGGGATAGCTGGATATTGATACATTCTTTCACATTGACACACTTTTTTTTTTTCTTGTTATCCTGAACCAAGCCTGGAGCATGTCGGACTTCAAGACAATGGTAAGATTAGATCCCGGTTTTCGCAGAAATATCAATATCAATCATATCATGAATGAATGAAATGGATAAATAACCCAACTAGCCCCCGCCACCAAAAGTCGACCTCATGTTCGATACAAAAGTACGAACAGGGATTGGAAAATCTGATCCTGCTAGCCTGATGCCAAGAGACCGGTACAGCAAAAGCAAGCAGAAAGTCTATCCACGTCTCCTGTCCTCTCTGTCCTCTCTGTCCTCTCTGTCCTCTCTGTCCCCTCGCTAGTGTAAAAGTCAAGGATAAATCGAGGACCAATCGCGGAAGAACAGCAAACACGCAAACCCTGACATCCAAGCCACGAATCCACAAGAAACACCCGGGTCTTCCCCTATGCATGGCAAGCCCACAGCACCGGGTAACAATTTCCACCGCCCGCGTTGTCGGTACGCTGAGGCTGGCGTATTGATGCATGAGCTCAAGAAAAAAAAAAAGATCCCAGACCTAGTGAACAGCCCTCAATTGGCTCGGGATTGGCGGGTTGGTACCAAATATGTGCCCGCAGGATGGTAGGGGGAAAAGGGGAGTGGGAGAGTGGGATTTCTCAAATATGCGGCTCAATTTGGTCTTTTTTTTTGGATTTTATTTATGCTAATTGGAGTTTTTCCCTTCTTACTAGCTTTCATTACACCTTATACCCGACCTACGCGTCTTTCTAACGGGTATTTGCGTATTCCGTGTCTGGCAACTAGATATGAGTGCTTACTTATATAGGGTTAATAAGGCCGTTTTCGCTATGATTTACATCTCACTGGTATTAAGTCTAAACCGAGCACTGATTGTCTCGTGTACCTATAATAATAAGTGAGTTAGGGAACTGATCCCTTATGGTATTTTGAACAGAAAGCCACGAGCTTGTTGAGCGCCACTTTTAGGGCTTTCCCTAACTTGAATCGATGAATTAATAGAAATAATAAAAAGCACAAATAACAAAGATACGATTTTCTTAAAGAATAATTAAAATTTAGTCAACATAAGTACGATCTACAAATAGTGGGAACAGGGATCCTGAATCGGGCCCCCAAATCCAAGCTACTGCGTGTCCTTTGAATGCGCCAATCTCCCTGCATGCATACGACCGGAGAGGGATTCAGGCTCCAAAGGTGATGATCAAGCGCCCAGGACACGAGTTGACAGATCGGCGTTTATTCTCCGGCTTCTCGCTTTTGCGGTGCTTGAAGGACATTGTGATTCTGCACTGTCCGATATAGGTAGTAGACAAGGGTCTTTTGCCATATTGCTTAGACGAAGATGCTTTTTATGCCACATATTATTATATGAATTGGTATTTAAAGCAGAATGGGTATCCACGTTCATTGAGGCATAAACTCGCTTTTTCCATTACCAAATTCCACTGCTCATAGGACGTATCCGTGTGAAGATGACTTCTCTGATCACTATTTGCTGGTCCTGTGCTCCAGTAGCAACTGCTGTTGTTTCTAGTCTCGGTCTCGCCCTCTTTGCTCTGGTCTTGGTTGTGCTATACTCGAGGGCTCATCGAGGGCTCAAGCATACCGCAGACTTGGAAATCACACAAGTAAGAGGCTCAAGTAATATACTTCGAAGGTATTCTCTAATCTCTATAGGGAAGCATGATCAAAATTCCTACATGGCAAAGATCCTATGGCCTGGATATACAGCAGCCCTACAGGCGTGAATCATATGAGTTCGAAGGTAAGCAATCTTATCCCCAGCTCATTAGTGTGGTGTCTGACTAAATCAAATTTAGATGTGTGAATTGGGATATTCAACGCAAGGCACACGGACCTGGTCTAGCGGCAGTGACATTAATGTCATTAAAAGGAGATTGATTATAGTGACAGGGTATAACGAGGATCTTCACAGGAAACCATCTATATTCCATGGTACATGATTCAAAGCAGCGTAGTCTAGTAACAGTAACCAAAGTAACGAGTTGTAATTTTGATATGTCTCGTGCTGAATTTTCACACTGAAAAAAAGCCCAGACGCATCCGATGGCACCGAACTATAAGTTATAGTTCAACATATCACAAAGAGCAAAGACTAGGAAATTGAAATTTCCAAGTTCTGTAAGCACCGTGCACATTAGACACCACGTCAAGTCTACACATTCGATATTGATATAGACCGTTACGTACTTTGGCCAGACCGTTCTCTATACATAGTACTTCTCGCCGGATGTCGGGTCGTCTTCCCCGGTCGAACTCCCGAGCTTTAACGCGCTGAAAACAGTTCCTGGCCGCTATACCCGCAGCCATGATTCAGAAAGAAAAGAAAGGAAGGAAAAAAAAGAAACGCACGGTGATGGGTCTATTTAGGTACAAATGTTCCAGGGGCGGCCGGAACGGGAGGCGTGTTCCCCGACAAATCATGCATGTTGGATACAAGATCTACTCGATTTGTTAAGAATCTATGTACAACACCCCACCGGAACGAGGTCTTGTTTGGTCCGTATATTTGGGATGAATAGTCTAGGCGGATGCATAACCTGAAACACATTTGCTTTCTTTTTCGTTCTAGTTTGGTAGATTTGAGCTGTGCGATGATTGGTAGAGTATGTAGTGTGATAGATCATGTTTAACCCCTTTTTCTTATTTCATACCCTAGATTATATTATTCTTGGTGTTTTTTTTCTTTTCTGCTACGTCATTATCATAAGCATTACAATCGTACGGAGTCCGGAGCACTTGTGAATAGATTGGGACCAAGCCTTTCCCCTGCATAAATCGAGTACCGAAGCACTTTTCCAACGTCTCAAAGCCACATATGGTCTCTCAGAAGACGGCTGCGGAGGCAAGATCCTCCAAATGCGTCACATTTGGATATGCGAGCAAGATGATTACAAATGTTTGGCGACTACTTTCATGTTCTAGACAACAAGAACGTCGGTCATCATCATTTTGGGTCTACAGAATCGTATGATCTAGTCAGGTAGAGGGATGTCGATGCTAAAAATGAAATAAATATACCATTTATGCCATTCCCAGAGTTATGTGGTGTGTGGTTAGGGCTAGATATTACATGGGACTTGGCGGTCGTGATTCGTTGGTATTCGCCGGTTGCACCTAATTTTCTTTTCTTTTTGCGAAGATGGAGTATCGGTATTGGATGAACAAATAGAACAAAGGACAGCACAAGGTAAAGGTACGTTGGCATCATCCATGTCCACTAGCAGATTTAGTGCTTACTATTGAGCATAGATCACTAAAGAAGAATCGTTAATTCATTAAAGCTAGAAATGTAGGGGCTTATATACCCTGTTAAAACATCTGAACATAGGCTCATTTTGTAGCAAACAAGCAAATACCAAATAAACTACCAAATGCTCATTCTGTAGCAGCAAACATGCATGCATGGGACGATTGTTGAACACTTACCTCATACTATGAATGTATTGCATTATCTCGAGAGCTCTGGGGCACTGGGGCATTCTATACACCATGTTAACTATAAGTTACATATATAGCTTCCCGACATATATTCGTACCTTCCTGACTACATGTCTGACCTCAGGGTTTGCTTTTCCCTTCGGTTCTAGGTATGAGATAAACTACCTACATTTAAATTCAAGTAAAAAAAAAAAAAGAAAATCAATCAATTCATTCATTGGTGGCTCAAGTATTTGGTTAATCATACAAAGCCCGTTAAACGATCATTGATATTTCGCTTTTGAAATTTGAACAACTGAAAATAAGAACACCATTCAGCAAGGAAAGGCGAAACATCTCAAAGCTCAACTAGGCCGCAGAAAGGATGAAAGCAACATTGAAGTCAAAGACCATAGATGATTAGAGCTAGCTGAGGCCAGTAGAAGAAGAAATCCGCCGAAACTCAGACTCAGGAAATCGGATGTCGTTAAACTAGCGGCGGGATAGGTTGGAAGGGAAAGAACCAGTAACCTTCGCATTCGGCCGGGGAATGGTTGCAGGATCAGGCATCGAGAACAGTCGGCCTGGAGCTTTCAGGGAACCTGGGCCACTAGATTGAGCCATGGAGCTCGAAGCACGATTGGCAACATCAAATGAGGGCCGATTCTCAGTATTACCATGCTGGGCAGAAATAGTGCGAATGTGGGTTGATGGAGCCTCGCGCAAGGTGGTTGGTTCATAGGGACTCGGAGCAGGGCCGATCACACGGGGTTTGTACGGCGCAGGGCCGATTGTATGAACGCCGGTTGAGTGAACACCCTGTTGCTTGGGAATGTTGGGATGCTTTGCGCTCAACCCCCGAGTCATGGTCTGGGATTGCATTGCATTAGGTTCAATAACGTCAGCTTTGGAAGTGACGGGGCCTACAGGTCCTGCAAAGATCGAATCGTCAAGAGTCCGTGGTTTTTTGGTTGCCTCCTTTGCACGTGGCGCCAGAGCAGGAGTAACCTGAACAGACGCGTCGGAGGTAGTGGCCGTCTTTGGAATATTAAGCGGACGAAGTGTCGGAACAGGGACCACACGCTGAGGCTGGAGGGGCGCAGCAAGTTTGTCCGAAACCTGAAGGGATTCGAACTGCGAAATAATGTCGGAACTCTCACTTCTAGTAGGCGAGAGACCGGGCACACGTACCTTGTGCGCGTGTTTATCAGCAGAAGGGGGTGAGTTTGAACTAGACGAGGGCGGAGGTGGCGATCGATGTCCCTCAAAGGGGGTAATGTCGCGATGGACAGCCGAAGGAGCTTCAACGGCGTTAGTTGTTTGCTGCGATGTTGAAAGATACTCAACAAGTGCAGCCAGATTACCCATCCGACTTTCAATCTCAGACCCTGCAGGTACTGCAGGTGCCGCAGGCGTTGGTGTAGGTGCTGCAGGCGTTGGTGCATGTGCTGCGGGGACCAATTGAAGCAACTTCGATTCAAGTATGCGTTCGATATCACGTGTAGTAGGCAAATCTTCGGACGAACGAATGTGTCTGCGGATGTCTTGAAGCTCTTCAATGATTCGCGGACCATAGATATCGATATCATTGATTGTCGGTTTGGGAGCAATGACTTCGTCAATGCTCTTGACTGGCACTGACCCCCCGGCCGTGTCAGCAAACTTGAGACCTGCCAATTCTGCAGCACCTGGACTATGGATGGCCACTGTCTTCAAAGGACGAGGGGTCGGCAGTGCTGCATTGACCGATGAGTCATCGTCACCGAGAAGATCTTGTAACTGGGCTTTCTGCTTGGTTTCTTTGACTTGCGTGACCTTGGCGACTGGTGTCTTCTTAGCCTCAGCGATGGGCATGGAGGTCTTAGATGAGACTGCCTTTTTGATTGGAGGAGCCGGGCCCTTCTTTCGTGGCTCTTCGCCAGGCGAAACCTTCCATTGAATTTCATCCGCTGCGACTGCGACCACCGCTGGATAAGGAGCATGGGAACTACTCGCCATGCCCTGTCCCTTTTTGGACTTGGTGTTTTGTTGGACAGAAATAGAATGAGATGCGGGTTGGGTGGGTGCTTCCACTCGAGGGGTTTTGTTATGTGGCTGAGAAGATTTAGGTATATCAGGCTGGGCCTTGCGAGCTTTGAAGGATGCAGTCTTGTCAAGAGGAACAACACGGGCCGATAGTGGTGTTTCCACTACATAGGGCCCAATGTGTGGCTGATCAATGGGAACGGCACGAGATGGAGTCGTCAATGTTGACACAGGCGAGGATACATGCTTCGAAGATGGAGTAATGCTCGCTGCCTTTTTCTTGGGTGTACCGCTCGGAGATATTTTGGGGGTTGACTCTTTGACCGGAAGGGGTTGTAATGTAGATTTAGCCTTCTGCATCGGAGCGGAGACAGTTGTATCAGTAGGTTTGTTGTATGTTTCAGTCGCTCGGCGAGACTGAAATGAGGACATGAAGTCGGCAGGCTCGGAGATTCTGGTGGCAAAGTTGATGCTAGCCAGGAAGTTAGCATATAAACTTCACCAAAACAAGCCTGATCACTTACGCTGGAGGCTGCCGCTGAAGTCTGCTAGGGGCGGACGGAACTAAGAACGTTGTCAGCTGTGTTCTCTTTCTGCACTGGCAATCAAAACGTACCGTGGACCTGCTCCTGGGAATTTCCCTTGCCTTTACCCTTGCCACGCCCGCGTCCCCTTCCTCGCTCGCGAGCATCACTATCGTCATTGTTGCAGTTCAGCGCCGGGTCCAAATGAATACTGGCCGACACTGTGGAGCGACCGCGCGGTCCTGGGCGACCAATATTTCCTCGGATTGCGGCTCTGCGGTTTCTCTTTCATGAATTGGAGTGTCTTGAATGTCTGAGTAAATCCACTTCTTACCTTCCAGAAGCAAGAGGAAGAGCAGCCGGTCCCTGGGGGAGCGGGGGAACAAAGCCACCTCGTCCTCTCTTGCCCATGACACCACCGCCGCGACCTACGGATGGGGTTGGGTAAGGATGATTGGCGTAAGTCCGTGGCTGGTGTCCATCAGGATGCAGCATTGCGTGCAAATTAGCTCGGTGGGACTGCCCGGAATCGATGTCATCGAGTTCCTCCATTCCGTGAGTATCTGCGATCTGAGTGTGGAAGTCTGCAAAAACATTGAGTACAAATCCAGAGAGATGTAGGGAATCTCTTCTTCAGTACTTACTTGCCCATTTGCTCAATTGAGCTTCATCCCTCTGATCGATCAGTCGCTTTGATTCGACCTCGGCAAGCTGTGCGCGAGCCTGCTTATTGATATCGGCGGTCGAAATCATTTCACGTCGCGCGGTTCCCAGGTCCGCCTGTTGATGCGATTAGAAAAGTGAGAGAAGAAGTAAGAGACTAGACATTACCATTTGAATGCTCTGCATCCTGCGGAGCTGCTCTGCGGATTCGCCCATCGTGCCGATACGCTTCCCGTGGCGGGTAGAGCGTCGACGACGGTAAGGTGAGGATGTTAGACGCGGTTGCGTGACACGTTGTAATCGATGTTTTCACCGGGTCGGGATTGTGCTTCGGTTGATCAAAGCACGAAGGGCGAGGGAGGAATGAGAGGAGGGAGATTAGAGGTTATTTTGGGAGAGGGAGTTGGTTGTAGAAGGAAAAAAGAGAGAAGATGGGAAGAGGGTAAACAAAGGAACGATCAGGCGTAGGTTAGAATCAAAGATGAGACGCGTCTGTGAAGGGCAAACAATTGGATTGCTGTTTCTGGTAGGGACGAAGCTGCAAAATGTGAGAGTCGCTAGTCCATCGCACCTTCCCTCGAGGTCACTTTTCGTCTTGGGCAATGGCATGTGCACGTGGGAGCTGTTTTGGAGCACATAAAAAGGTCCACGTGACATCGAAGCCCTATAGATATATAGATATATGCTATAAAACCATCGATAAGGATCGTGGAGTTTTGGGATGGAGAGAGTGAGTGTAGAAGTTGAGAAATGAAGGGAACGTGCCCAGGCGCTGACACAAGGAAGGTGTTCTTTACTGTACTTGGTCTGACTTCAGGGTATGCGTGCATGCTATCTACCGAGGCACATAGTTAGCATCTACTGAAGTACCTGCTACTTATCCTCAACAAGACGTTGCAAGTCACCACTACAAAAACAACGTCACATAGTGATTTGTGAATGAGAGTATTGTAGCGTATCATATACACAACAGATATTTGTTCAAAATGGTTACATATGTACATAGCAACACGGCCCCAAGAGACTTCTCGGGCACACTGAAAGTATAAGCCGCCGTCATCGGTGGAAAGTCCTTGAAAAATTCCTTTTAGGGTGCACTGCAACTATGAGCCTCGCCGTCATCTGCAAAGACAAAGTTCAATATTAGTATATGTGCCGAGAGTGCGACCAAATAGCCACACAATTGAGTACAATTGGGACTATTTCCGGGATAGACTTACTTCCCATGATCTTGACGACCGCCTGCACTAGACTAACACCCATCACAAGCAGCCCAAATAAAATGCATAGATACGCCGGGATCTTCTCCCGCCGCGTAGCACTGCTTAGTTTGATGTAACAGAGAGGAGGGAATATATAGGCTAGAGCAGCGGCACTGGTCGAGCCAATGAGTTCAAAAACACTTCCCAGATCACAGGTTATCAAAGACAACACCATTGAAGTCACCACCAGCGCCGTTGTGAAAATAACATGTCGAACAGTGTTGTGCGGTTCATCGGGGAAGTAGTAGGTTGTCATGACGGAACGGCAAACGAACGCCTCGAGCGGTAGTGTCGTCAACATGTTCAGGCCAAAGCAACTAGTCGAAGTCAGTCAAGAAGCTCCATATCAATCAAGATCAATGGGAAGATTGTACAATCGTGCGATGTTGACAACGATATTGTCTGATGGGAAGTTGTTCAGAACGTTGCCCTGGGTTTTAGACCCGAAGGATAGGAACCCTGCGATGCCCATTGCTAGGCACATCACCAGAGAGATTCCTGTCGAGTAATGAGTGACCCGGGTGAAACGGTCGAGTGTCGGCCTTTTCAAGGAGCCGTAGATCAGAAGACTGTTGTGGTCTGTGGAAATTAGCGATTGTGATATCAGTGGGATAAGAAGCGACATACGACAAACAAAAGCTAGAAATTGTTAGCAGAGTTTCCAGATATTCAAAGGGACAGCTGAAACTTACCAAAAGAGATGACCCCGACAGCTTGGAAAAAGCCAGTGTTGAATATGAGGTGGCTTTTAATCTCTCCGCGCGATTCAGGCGGCACCCGGAAACCCTGGGTTATGACCGTGACAACAATGACTATCATGCTGACCAATGCCAAGGCAGATGCTTTCGCCAGCTACCTGACCGTTAGTTTCTGATAAGCAGTAACGAAAGAGAGATCTGACCTTAGCGATGTCTCTATACAAAGACAATGGGTATGAAACTACCAAAACAAAGATAACGATAACAGCCCGGCGATCTGTGAGGAGCCATAGGAAGGACATATCCCTAAGAGACGGAAACAAAGCGCCTAGAACGTGTGGAATGGTATCACCAACAATAATACAGAATGCGACCATGCCGCCGAATGCAAATGCCCACTGCGCAACCGAGATTGCGATGAGACCGGGTTTCCCGAAACACTGCTGCATAGTCGCCTGGAACGAATCCGCCCCACTCAATTTAGAGTTGATCACAATCAATCGAATGGTCCAATCCACTGTGATGGTCAAGGCAGTCAACAGCAAAATGCCCACTGTCATACCTGCCTGACGAAGCGCATAAGGTTGCCCAATGATTCCAGCTCCGATAATGCTATTAGCCATATTCATGAACGCCATTTTCATCCCACTCCGCGGTCGTGCATCTTCGAGATGGTCTTCGGGGAAGAAATCGTCCGATGTCGCAAGTGTCACACTAGGCGCTTCAATATTTGTGAGGAGAGGGATTGATTGTCCATTGTGGTGTGTTATTGGGCCCCTATTTCCAATTTCATAGTCCTCATCCTCTAGCCATAGTGTATCGTCTGGACTGTCGTCTGGGCTGAGAGCACGCTCAATGGAAATGCGATTGGGGTCTTCAGGCTCTTCCTGCAGGTCAAATCGAACTCGATTCATGGTACGGGGTGTGCGGCGTTTTCCATCGGCCGTAGGTTGAGAGATAGCGGAGTGGCGTGTGCCATTTGTCGCGTTATGTGAGGGGATGATCGGCGACGGAAGAGGCTCCGGGTGGAAAGCTAGGTCCTGCTCCTCACTTGAGGCAGACAGAAGTGATTGAGCTTCGCGTTCATCCTGGCCATTCTGGGCATACAGGTGATCGTCTGACAACTCATCCCCTGGCATCGCTGACCTTAGATGCTAGTTGGAAGTGTAACGGTTACTTTCAGGACACTTGGATGGAGGCCTCACGTGAGAGCTTATTGATAAGACTTCTTTGGCCCGATAAGAATAACAACGGTTTACCATGTGCACGTCAACGGGTACTCCACTGTAACTATCTAACTACCTGTCTAATAACAAATAACCACCTTGGAAGAGCTGGATACAAATGAAATGAATGACTATGCTTAGAAATGAAAAGAAACAGTTCAGTTCGTAGGATAAACCTAGACAGTAGCAGTACATATAAGCTAACAAAGGTTATATGTTACCTCCAGCTAAAGCTTAAATGCCTGACTTTTCAGGGTCAATGTCTGAATATGCCTGAATTCAGCCTTATTTTACACTGGCGGAAATCAAAATACCTAAATTACTCCCTAGGTAGATATAACAGAGAGCTTAATAAGCAAACTAAGTGTTGGAAGCTATTCCCGCCATTCAAATCTCCGTATACACCTATTTCTCAGCGTGGAAGCTGTTGCGACCGGCCAAATCTAAAGAGGCATTAAACACTGAGAATTTGAAAAAACTGATAACTTTTCAAGTTTGAGGAATATGGGGATTTGGATTCAATTTACAGTACACAGTACAGAGCGAGTACACAGTAGTTATAGAGCGGTGTCAAAAGAATATTAAGGCATGAAGCCTGAAAAGTCAGGCATTTAACCTTTGGCGGCTCTGCCCCTCCGCATCTCAGTCTTAAAGTCATGTCTCGCTTTTTTTTTTTTTTTTTTTTTTTTCCTCTTTTCGTGTGCAACCTTTAGGTAAAATGTGAACTAACTGACACCAATTTCTATCTCCTCTATTTTGCTGGGAAAAGGTCACAGCATCTATGTTCGCTCTGGTCAATCATGGAGTCCCAACCGAGACAGCGGAGGCTATGTGCCCTTGGTTTTATTCCTCCGGCGTGCTATATGAAGAACATTCCCGAGAGCGTTGGATTTCAGGTTAAGATGATTGAACTTAACCCACAACCGCTAACTAGAGCTGACAACCTCTGAGAATGATTGACTGGGAGGATTCATGAGACTGATCGGTACTCAGATGTTGGATATTTTGGATAGCGAGGAGAAGAAGAACAGTGCCATGGAGAAGATCTACCTAATGCTGCACTATGGCACCACAGGAGAAAATGGGAGTCAGTGGACCACATATGCCCTGAGATGTGTTGCTCAAAAGCCGTGATCAGAGGCTCAGAGCTCAGCAACAATACTGAAGTCTGTAACAGGAATCCAGCTTTTCAGCTGAGCCTATGCCACAAATATACATAAATACCCAAATGATATGAACAGTAAAAGTGAATTGATCTTTAAGAATTTGGGTACACGTATTCTCAGGCAAAGAGTCCTGGAAGTCATGTGCCCCGTCCATGTACTTACTGTACGGCCATGGGCACACCCAATCCAGCGATTCCTTTCCCGCTCTAGCACCCCACGAATCCCCAAATTGTTCGTTTGAACGATTGCCTCGGGTCCAGAAAGAATAGTATAATTTTTTGATGATGATGTTCCTTCACAATGGCACAAAAGCTCGACTTGGGTCACTCCACTCTGCGAATCCGAAATTCAAAGTTGCAGCTTCGCTTGGCCGCATCGGCTTATTTCACCCAACCACCAAGCCACGGAAGTTTTCAAATTGAACTCCCGGAATTGGAAAATCTAGAAAGTGTGTGGATAACAGAGGCACCAGAGTTGGAGCTGCGCTTCTTCGTCGGGGGAGATTGGGACGGAACTGAAATGACGGCATTCGTCTCGAGACTGAGCAGCAGACTCTGTAATATGGAGGTTTGTGTGAGAGAATGTTTTCCAAATCATAGACTAACAATTCCTTGCTCCAGATCTGGTCGGATCTGGGATTCTCAGTTGAGTCCAAGGCGGCTGCACGTGGATATTGTATTGACACTTCTGGTTTCCACTACCTCGGACTTGGCCTGCGCAGAGAATGTCGAGTACGAAACCACACAACGGGTCGGACTTTGCCTAGTTCAATGACCAATCCCCCAGACGCGTGTCCTCCTCACAGTGTACCGGTAGCTACCTTGGCTTCAATTGACATTCGGCTGGAGTATCGTCTTCACACTAAGGATATATCACAATCCCAGGGCTGTTCCGACTTAGAGATTGGTCTTCTTGGACAAGAACCATCTATTGACACCAGTTTCCAAGTGCTAGACAGAATGGCAGAAGCCGCAATGCTACATCCAACGCATGACGAGGATTCCACTGAAGCTCTTGGACCGCAGACTGCTTGCGTATCTGGAGATGGATCAGCTAAATCATGGGAGGAACTCTTTCGACTGCTCGACCTTGGAATTCAAAGACTGGTCATTTCCACCTCGATCAAAGATCGCGCGATCCGTGTCTCACAACAAGACACGATCAAGAGCCTCGCAGATATCTCACCCGCAGTGTTCAATCCTGCATATCGGAATGTGAGTTCTCATTCTCAGTCATGCAGCTCAAGTACTGATTTCACCCAGGCGGTCAACCAACGAGGAGTGACTATTCCAATAATCACGAAAGCCATATCGGCTATGTTAGCAGGAAACAAGGATCAATCTACCAAAGCTAAATTAGCTGATTTGCTAGAGCTTAATCGCTGCCAGAGCACAAATGATTTGACAATGAGGTCTCAACTTCCAAGTTGCAGGACTGCAATCCTCTCATCACTTTGGCGTGTCGCCCAGAACAATGCCCCCAAGATGAACTCAATCAAAAGACGAGCTTCGATGTTCTCCATGGAGAGTTTATCAAACGGAGCAACTAGGTCAGACGAGCCGGTGCGGCTCATGTCTGCAATTCAGCAACAACCTGACAACGAAAATCCAGGACAGCATCGTTCGTTCCAGACACAATACCACAACGAGGACGAAGTATGTGACGTTTATCTGTTGAATAGCGAACCTGAGGACCAGCTTTTGGACAATTTCAGCGAGACAAGCTTCACAGACCTCGGCGATTCCACTCAGACATCCCTTGACACTGTGTTCTCATCAGTTGGGTGCTCTCAGGCTTCATACCGTGATTATGATACTATGCTTCTCTCGGATGATGGCGAATTGACAGATTATCCGGGAAACAATGTCGGAGACTATGATCCAGGAGAATATATGGAGACATACGATACGGACATTATAATGGCTGATGACCTTTAGATTATTTGTGTGATACCTTTGCTATAATATATAATACACCTAGATAATGATTATGAACCTTCATTGAGCTCGATTGAATTGACCGAAAGCACTTACGGGTATTATCCATACCATACCTCGTCGAACAGGCGTACAGCCGGATTTCTATTAAAACTTATCCATAATCGTATCAATTTTTAGGGTAAGAGGGCATTATCCCTAACTATAATAAAATTATACATATTACTCTAGAATATAGATCTGCTTATGTGTATCTCTTGTACAACTATGAAACACGGTCTCTGCGATGTCCCTGCTCCCAAGTAACACTAATATCCACCGTCTTCGCAATTCCATCCCCTGTTACCCCTGCTCCATCATCACTCTCATTGGCATTCACAGAAGTCCTAGTAGTCCCCATTTCCATATCCTCGCCCCGTCCACCCGTAAAGAAATTCTGTCTACTCCCAGAGGCTTCGGGATTGGTTTGTACGCGGTTCGTCGCGCGTTGATGGCTTGCTGTGTGATTCCTATACGATGAGGCGAAAGGAAAATTGCTCGACTTGTCGCTTGCGAACAACTGGCGTACAGAAGAAATAGCCAGCGAACGAACGCAGGGAACCGATGCGGTGATAATCACAAGATAGCATTCGATCATAGCCCAGCAAGTAAGCTCTATCGCATTGGCTGTGCCGTCCCAGGTTAAGATCTGTTTGAGATATACAGCCTTCATTATGGCACCGACTGTTGCGCTGTATGGGGGGTAAAGACATCCCTATTAGTAAGGTAATTGTAACCATATCAAAGAAGGTACTTACACGAGACCCAAACTCGTGAGTATCATAAGGCTGAACTTGATCATCGGCTTTAACTTAAGATCCCAGAAAATATAGGACGGAAGGACTGCTAGTAGCAAGTCTGTCGAGGAGTTGCAGACTATGAATAATTCGATATTGTTAGTTAAGAATAGGGGATTGTGATTTCCCTAGCTTCGATTGAGCCAATGGGCATCGAATGGACATACAGCAGAGAAAGTAACCAAACCGGAGCTGAATATAGTCTTCCGTGCAGTTCGTGGCGTATTTGGGATCCCAAACCCCACGGATATTGTGGCATTGGGATAGGATAAGGATAACCATTACAGCGTTTGCCACTATTTGCATCGCAAATAGTATCCATAGGCTGATCTTGAAGAATTTCCTCGTTGAAAGAACTGGCAACAGGTAGAGGATGAATGCGACTCGGCCTAGACATGTGCTTGTGACGCTGCAAACTTCCATTATGGTGTAGTATTTAAGAGCGGTAACCTCGTCAGCTCCAGGACGACCGGATGCAAAGCCGTAGTCAAGGACTGCGATTGTGAAGAGTATCGATGAGGCGAGGGCGAAACCCTATAATGAGGGTTAGAATCATAGACTGATATCATCATTTCCCTCCAATTGTTAACCGTGAACTTACTAGGGATGCAACCATTATGGCATCGTCTGATCCCATATGGCGAAGCCTGGCTTTTGCAAATATCCGGAGCACCATCACGATGATTGCGAGGGCCCCAAGGGCCCATGTGCCCTGTAAGACTGACTGCCGATCACCAATGAGAGAAACCATCATATGAATTGATCAATCAGTAATCGTTACATCCTCTGAAAGCAAGGAGGTCAGATAGTGGTGAATTTGATACGATATGGGTAGCAAAGCGAGGAAAATCTACAAAGATCTGGGTCATGAACTCATTAACAATTTTTCTGTGTGTCGATCAAAGAATCAACCAACTCGGCCCCTAACACCCTAAAACAGACTTAGTTCAAGGAGCATTTCATCTTATTTCATGGTACACGAATGGAATCACGACTCGAAATGGAGCAACATGCTTTAACTTCGGGCCCACTTTTTATTTGAAACATGGACCCGGGACTTCTGCCTCGGTTTGAGCTTCAAAGGGGTCCATTGGGGTCTCGGCGAGCGGATGTGAACTTGGTATATGTTGGAGTCGTGCATTGGCCAGTATGGAGGCTTCCCGGTCCTTGTATGCCGAATACGCCGGCATTTCTTAAATTGAATCCCCCAGTGTTTCAATTCGAAGCAGTCAATGCATAGTCTTCTAGATCTTCTTTTTCTCTTGGAACAATTCTAATGTTCTAAAGCTTCCTGGTTCCTGTGCTTTGTCCCTATAAAATATGATTTCGTCAAACAAGCTTAACTACGTATTTCGCCCTATGCATTGTTTTATCCACAGTTCACATGGGACTATCAATATATTTCATGTCAGCAGAATAAATCAGACTTACGCTAACTAACTATATTGTCCTCCGGATAACGAGATTTTCGCAATTGTGTCCCACCTCGTGTTCGCTATCCTATTTCCGGTCTGTTCTACGCGGCCCCCGAACTTTATTATTTGGATATTATCATCTCATTAGCCTTTCAGCCGTTTATTGATGCCTCATCGAGACGAACGTGGCGAATGAACTTGATTAGGGTTCGGTAGCATATAACCTTTAGATACTAGTGCCCTAGGGGCTAACTGCTATCCATGGATATATAGGGGAAATTTTAACAAATTTGGAAAGCTGAATGGAGCACGGGTTCTTGGCGTCCAGCTTCGGCATATGTGGCGCAGTCCCGAGGCAAATTTTGCTTCAATATACGACATAATCAGTGATTGGTGGCTCTTTGTATCCTTTCCTCTTCTTAGTACAAAGCATTTATTGGTAAGTGCCTTGATTATCTTGAGATATGGTTATATATTGTAGTACGCGTATATTAACATAGGTACGGAATACGATCGCCGTTATTGTCCGCAACGGGATAAGCTTAGATTAGAGTCCGCTAGTTTGGTCAGCAAGGGGCCCGGGAGCAGCGAGGAATGGCCGAAGAATCCCCTTTGATTGGGCCAAGGGCGTTTAAGATTTTACGATTACAATTACCTCGTGGTACCAAGGTACGGAGTAAAATAGTTTATTTCCAAAGGTTTATCGACTCGCACAAGATTCCTTTACGTAGTTCACAATTGTATAATTTTGTTCACGAAAAATTCTTCATATCAGTCTGGCACCTTGGATTTTATGTATATTTCTAATCTTATTCTTCGTAATGTTTTCACGCTGGTAGGTTGCTGAGTTGCCTAGCAACCTTTCGACATAAGTGTATACCAAAAAGCAAATTTCACACCCCATACCCCCGTCGATCTCCTGTAACCAGTTTGCACAAAATGATCGTCCTCGTTCAGATTTATAAACAAGCGTACAATGTGGGGATTCACCAAGCGGGATATTCACATGTTTTTGTTCCCTTTAAAGGCACACTCTTTTTAAATACTTGAGTTTCTTCAGCAATTGTGATCGATATCTTCCAGTCTATAGCATGAGTGTGCTTGATGTTATATGTGACAAAGTAGGGATAGATGGGGGTCAGATCATGGAGACGCTAACCCGAAGAAGTCAGGCCGGCCGAGTATAGAACAAGCCGGAACATGGCCCCGATATTGATGTCCCAGAAGCATTATCAATGGAGGTTTGAGACTGTCAAATACCTTTTGGACATGAAGGTTAAGTGAGAACCGATGCCTAATCAATAGTTCCGAATAGAGGGCAATCTGTGACATAATATGCGAGTAGCTGACCAGAGACAATTTGATCCAGTTGATCCGAGCTTCCTGTGCGGTACTTTTGAGTGAGTCACTAGTCTTGTCCTCGAGAGGCGCGATGTGTAGCACGAGAGGAAGATTATGAGCCTCACCAAGAATGCTGATGAAAATCTTCATTTTTGACACTTGCAAACCGCCATAAAACATAGAGATATCATGTTGTGGTGGTGGCCTCAGGCCGCAGCGTTGATGCCCCAGACATCAACCTCTCAGCAGGTAGATCCGCAGATCCTGCCCATCAACTCTTTCCCTCCCCACTTTCTGGTACAACTTTGTAGATGCCCCAGCAGGTTAAGACGCCCGTGGCCTTTGAGCATCTATTTCATTTCTATTAGGAAGCTTTTTTCTTTTTTTCTTTTTTCTTTTTTCTGATTGTTTCTAATCTGATACCGTGCAGGGAGAGTCGTGGTTCAGAGTTTTCATTGGTGGAACGCCCATTTATGGGGTCACATACCCACTGTGGGCCATCAAGTTATCCAATCGCGAACGAGTTCTTGATCTACAACATAAATTCATTAACAAAAACCAGTCGATCATCGGAGACGACAACAAAAGCTGATCAGCTACCAGATCCACATCAAATCACGCTCTACAAGATCACGCCACAGTTGACTTTCAGATACGACTTTTAGGCATGGGAAGAAATGGTTATTAAGGAACTGCGGGAGTTGAAACTACACAATCTGATCGATGATTAGATCGAACGATCACGCCGGAACGCGGCAAATGCCAGGAGATGGGTTGATATCTAGGAGAGAGTGTGCAGTTCATGCTGCCGACTGACGACGTCTTCAAATACTGCCAAAGGATCATCCAAGAAACTTTCCGAACTAGGCCGGATACCTCAATTTTATTTCCTCCTAGTTGACATAAGAATATGATCGTATCATTCACCCCCCGCCCCCCAACCATTGTTAGTAAAAGATATGAAATATTCCTGGTATTAAAACCCTTGTTAGCTCTATTCCACATGTAAGCTCTCGCCTTTCTGGTTCTCCCCAGCTAGGCCTGACTCCTCAACCAAGCCTAGATCATTTCCCATTTGTTTAAAATGCCTGGGCGCCACTTGCAGTGCATATAGTTCGTCAAGCTTCTGGAACGATATTCCCTGATATCACGGTTTAGTAAGTATTCGTAAGATCACATAGGCAGGAAAGTCGCACCTTTGTTTCTGGGAATAAGAACCACCCTCCAATCGCCGCAATAAGCCCCGTCCCCAGAAAAATGAAACCGACCTTACCACCCAAGTTTCCTGCATCGGGGTTGATCTGCGAAATTTATCAGCCAAGATACTTTAGTCGATTTATGTCGATTCTAACCATGTAAGGGATGGTAAATTGCATGATTAGCCCCCAGACCGCGTTGGAAATGGTGACAAGTCCTTGGGTTGCACCACGAAGACGCATGGTAGCAATTTCTGACGCCAAAACAAAACCTGTTGCCCCGATGGAGAGCTGAAAAATGATTGCCCACACGTAGATGAAAACTATAATTCCCCAACTGGCTTTGGCTTGATCTGGGACACATCCTAGAACCCCTATAACCAGGAGCATAAAGCACAGTGCAAATTGTGGCCAGACGATTAGGGTTCGACGTCCTACAATCTCTGTCAGGGGGAAGGCTGCCACACTGGACAGAAACATGACAATGTAAAGAACCACAGATGCATCGAAATAAGATTTCACGTGGATCAATTCAAGGAAATAGGTCGTGTAGCCGATTACAAATGTAGCGCCAATCATTTGCTGAGCGCTGGCAGCAAATATAGCAGTGAAGGTTCGTTTGCGGTTTTTGCTTTGGAAGCACTCGACCTCTGCGGACATATCGACCCCAAAGAGTTTGTGGTTAGCTGTGTCTGAGGTCCTTTGAATCTCAGTTGTAAGGCGGATTTCTTCTTCCATTCTTTGGATTTCAATGTTATAGAAAGAATTATCGCTGAAGCCGTAGACTTTCCTTAGTTCGTTTTTTGCTTGGGTTATTCTTCCGCGCCTGACTAGCCAGTATGGAGACTCAGGGAAGAAAAACCACCCCGCGGTGAGAATGACTACGCAAAATGTTAATAATAGCAGTGGCATGGCCGGTCTTGTACGCACATGGGAAGATGTACATGGCCACCACTGGGAGCCACCACTGCCTGTAATGTTGAGTCAGTTCAAACTTAGGTCTCACCGTATGTAAGTCAAAACTCACCATTTTCCATCGATACTACTTCCTCCCTTTGAAAAAACAACACTTCGCACGGATTTAGTAACAGTAGCGACACATCTGCGGTAAAGATACTGACATCGCAAACTGGCCAAACACAATGCTAGCATTGAAGAAGCACAAGAAAAAAACCCCGTAGCTCTGGTCGACATGTCTCCCCAATCCAGAGAGGCGGTATAGTAAACATGATACCAATAGCAATTCCTGGGGCAATGTCAGATTGAGAAACGCTTGGGAAGAGCTTCACTCACCATTGACACCTCTGCCGGCAAGGTGCGTTCTCCAGTCTGTGGCCAACTGTTGCAAGAGGACACCAGCAACAGATATAAAGGCTGCCACCAGAATCCCCGGCTTGCGGCCAAACTTCTCCAGTAAGGGAACAAAAAGAAAGGTAGCTACAATCTCACATGCTGGGGCAATCGAGCTCCAAGCCGAGATGTAATAGGCCGGGATGAGATAGTCTCCGGACGGTTGAAGGATGCCAAATTGCTTTTTGAATTCGGGCAACGCCGCCAATTGACCTCCCGCAACGATGTCGAAACCTTGCATCATAACACCACTAGATATCCAGATTGCTAACAAGGTAAGTACGTGTACACTGCACTGCGTAGGGGACACAGATTTACCCCAAAGAGCAAACCGCCACTGCGCGCGAAGCATTTGCCATTTCTTATCAGGGTTGATAAAGGTGTAGTCAATTCTGGCGAGAAGTCAGTCACTGCAACCTCCCGGAGGGTGTGTACTCCTGTACTCGTCGGTCATCGTGATAGGTCCTCGCCAATGTAGCGGTGCATTATACCCACATTTCCTGTGGGGATATTATGCAGTTATATATGCATCGCCCCAACGCGTCTTAGATTTCCCCGTGGGGAAAGTCTTAAAGTCCGGGGATTTTGAGTTTGTGAGTCTCGCGGAGAGTCAAAGTTACTCCGCGATTCTCAGCTCCTGCCGATATCGGCATCTTGCTGGGACATGGCAATGACAGTCGCGTATAAATTGTGTTTAAATTCAACAAAAATGATAATCTAGAACGCAGCAAAAACATGACCTCCAATCGCAAGCCGTCTCTGCATTTTACTGCTGGTTGTTGGATCAACGATCCTTGTGCTCCCAGTTATGATCCGGCCACGGCATCATACCATGTCTTTTATCAATGTAAGTATTCAATGGCGCTGTCGAAGAATTTAACTTACACTAAACAGGTAATCCACATGGTACTGAATGGGGCTCGATGTCTTGGGGTCATCTCGCCAGCAAAGACCTCGTTTCCTGGACACCCTCCACCAAGCCTGCTTTGATTCCCGACCAACCTTATGATCGTGCGGGAGTCTTTACAGGTTGCATGGTACCACCCGCAAATTTTGAGCAAGGCTCTTTGAAAGTTATCTATTCATCAGTCCGCCATCTGCCATTTCACTGGAGCACACCTCCATATCCCCGTGACGCTGCTGGTCTAGCAATCGCCGAATCTAGGGATAATGGGGAAACATGGATGAAATGCTCGGAAAATCCCATCTTGACAGGCGAACCCAAGGGACTTCAAGTAACTGGCTTTCGTGATCCCTTTCTTGCAGAGTGGCATGCTTTGGATCATCTTCGTGGACAAAAGTCCATGTATGCTCTTGTTTCAGGTGGAATTGAAGCCTACGGACCGACAGCCTTTCTATATTCCGTGCCGCATGAGAACTTATCAGAATGGCAATATTTGTGTCCCTTGGTCAACGTACCTGCTCGATTCCAGCCCTCGCCCAAATGGTCTGGAAATTTCGGCGTCAACTGGGAATGCGCAAATTTCCTGACACTCGGATCTCAAACCACCAGCCGCGTGTGTCTCATCCTCGGAGCAGAGGGAGATGTGGAACGTGAACACATTCGAAATTTTGAATCTTCTGAACATATTCCTCCAAGGACTGTTCGTTCTCTATTGTGGATGTTTGGTGATTTGAGGGTTGAGAACAACTCGGTCAGGGTTGACTACACCCATGGCGGGTATTTGGACTGCGGGTCATTGTATGCAGCCAACTCATTCTTTGATCCCGTGTCTAAGAGATATATAATGCACGCATGGATTCCCGAAGAGGACATTACACCGAGTTACGCCAAACGCAAAGGATGGAATGGTGCATTGGCCATTCCTCGCGAACTCTTCCTCCTTTCTATACCAAATGTTACACGAGCTCTTCGCAGTCCTTTGTCGGAAATAGCGTCTGTTGAACAAGTTCCAAACAGAGACGCTTCACTTACTCTCTACACTCTCGGAACACGGCCTGTTGAAGAGATAGTTAGACTCCGCAAACACTGTGGTCGTGTTTGCCAACGAAAACAGATCTCACTCCCATCTCCGACAGCCGGACCACCGCATGCACTGTGCTCAACATTTTTCGCAACCTGGGAGCTCGAGGCAGAAATTACTATCGACCCAAGTTGCTGCATTGAAGTAGGATTTCATATTCGCCACAATAGTGACATGTCTATATGCACTACTGTCACTTTCTCTCTTCAGAAAGAGATGATCAGTGTCAACAAGGGAAGATCAACATCTGATCCAAACGTGCGCAATTGCCCAGAACAAGGTCCCTTTACACTCTTTTATATGCTTGATAGTATGGGTGTCGAGCCCACAGAGAAATTGGAGAACTTGCGTATTCGCATAGTCTCTGATGCGGATGTGTTGGAGGTCTTTGCAAATGATCGTTTTGCCTTGGCTACGATGGTCTATTCTCCGGAGGATTGTAGACCTGCTAGCATATCAGCATTTACCAAGGGGGGATGGAGAGTGCTGTGATTGAGGAGGTCAATATTTGGGACGGTTTGTCGGCTACTGAGAGATAATAAAGATATGCTTTCATGCTGATAGTATTAGAAATCGTTTAGTGGTTGAAAGTACTATCATTATTATTGCTTTTCTTCCGTTTTTCGCTTTTCGCTTTTCGCTTTTCTTTTAAACAAACCCAGATTCTAGAAGACGCTCTTCTAGTACTCCCTGTAGCAGCACCAAGGATGGACTCTTCCGTAGTATCGTCTGTTCGGCGCGTCCAGATGCTTGGATACGTTGATACAACTGAGGTGAACAGAGCGCACTTAAACAGGGGGTATTTGCTGCCGTCATGGCGGCCACTGAAGTAATAAAAAGACTATCTCTCAATATCAGTAAAGCTATATCCCCAAAGTCACAAGAGGTAAACCCACCTAATAAATAATGTCCACCTATTCACCCGGCAGTCATTGAATGCGGCAATAATACTCGGTATTAACATCACGTAAGAATCGAAGAATCTCCGGCAATGATCCAGAAGGAGGTTTGTAGTAGCTCCATCCTTCATCGCCTGATAAACAGCCGGCCAATATATGGAAAGCTTGCAGCAGTAGTATTGGACCCGTAGGAAGTTTGACAGAGGACATGATAGTAAATCGACCGGTTCTAATGGCTGCAACACATCGCCTTTTCCAAAACGGTCCATTTCGGGTAAGCAGCAATACCATTCCTCGAGCTGGCGTTCTAGTTCCAGTGCGATACCTGGTGCATAGACGTATTTTCCGGCGGACGTCACCTGAACAGCTGTATTACATCGATGGAGCATACGTCTCATGGCAATCTCAGCAAGGAAATATGATTGCATATTTTTCACGCTTGCATTAGTGGATGGTGCAAAATGCGGGGAATCAGGCGCGGCAATTTCTGGCGATGTACTCTCCGGCGTAAACTGCCATGTCTCGTGGCATAGTGGCAGTGGAACATGTTCATCCAGGCACCAGATACCACTATTGGCAACATCCAATTGGCCGCCAATCTCGCTGTAACCCAAGTTAGTGATAAGTCCTACGTGGGAGGTCCAACTGTATACTTCTCAAGCAATAGCGCACCCCAGTACGCTCGCCGAGATTGTTCAACGGTATTTAGGTCATCGCCTTCCAGTCCACTAGAACATTCATATCAGCTTTGCCTCAAACTCCTCAGGTAGGTAGCAATCACCTCTTGATCAAGTTCTGAATCCTGGAAGACGCAATCAAGCAATAGTCGTGAGCTTGATAAGGCTTCAATAGACAGCAATAATACAAACTTATCAACATCAAACATTGCACACTGCGGATACTACACTCAGCGATGATGATTGGCAGCGAGGTGAGAGCTGTTTGAAAGTATGGGATATCTAGGGATTCCTCATCTTCCGCTACTAGATGGCCGAGTGCAGCCACAAGAAGGGAAAGGCAAGATTCTGAAGACGGATGTAAGGGACCGGAGAGTACCCGGAAGTACTCCTCTGTAAATCCCGAGGGAAAAATGGGATACCAGGTGTGAACGCGAGCGGAGAATGCAGCCAATGCGCTAATGTGGTAATTAGTTGCGGTCACTTGTAAACATCCACTCAACATACCTCACTGAATGCCGATGATGAACAATAAGCATCCGTGTACCTGCATTGGCATGGCCCTCGAATCCGGTAGCTCGTTCCCCTCGGGTTAGGACCTGCGCAAAATCTGCATGTAGTCCAAGCGCATGCATAACAGACGAATTACCAAGTAGCTTGGAAGGCAAATCAAACGGCGAATTTTCTTGATCTGCCGAATCACGATATTCAGTAGGCGGATCTCCAACACGAACATCCAGGGAAGTGGCCTCCGCTGGAAGCATTAAGCTGATTAGTTGATCTAGTCGTTTATTCACTCCATTCAGCTCCGCTTCCACACTGTGTCACATGTTAGTACTGTCTTTGTGGGACAGTGAAAGGAGTTACATACCGACTTGGGGGCTCCGCTGGGGCCTCTTGGTAGAGACAGTCAAGTCCGTGGGTTTGACAGTAACGACAAGACGGCTTCTGCGCGTCGCACTTGGTTCTCCGCGCTCGACAGGCATCGCATGCTAGGGTCGTGCGCTTTCGTTTATTCGGGCGGCATTCCTCCATCGTGGTTATGACGTTGTATGGAGGTTGAACTGGGTATGGTCTTATATCGCGGACGAAGACGAGGCCTCCGCCCCAACGGGATGCAACAACCCCGCATTTTGGATCGCGGATGAATCGGTGCTGCTCCGCGAACTCACAAATCCCAGCAGGACGATGGTGTTATTTTGTTTGTTGCGGAGGGAACAATTAAATCCGCATGTCTTGATCGCTGTCATTGTCGTGATGGGTAAGAGGAGACGGAATATGTGGTTATTAAAGGGCCCAGAAGACCTGCCTTTGTTATCTGCAATTGCAAACAAATTCACTCATCCTTTTTCTCTTTGATCATACCTTGAAGATGCCCATTGGAAACGACTTATTGGCCAGCATGGCGAAGAGAAAGGTGGCTCGCAGCGCCCGCGTGGCCAGTTGGGACCAGAAGGGTCTCAACGAGGACGCCTTTGTGGTTCTTCCGGGCGAGTCAATCGTGCTGGCTGACCTCGAAGGCCCCGGTGCCATCACGCATCTTTGGTTCGTCCAAACCTGCCGCAAAATTATAGGTCCAGGCCTGGTTCCCTACTCCAAGTCCGGGGTTGCGATGATGGAAATCCACAATGCGCTCGGCCTCAACTACGAAGTCAACGACCCAGATTACTATCGCAAGGTACTCATCAAGATGTACTGGGATGACTCGGAAACCCCCAACGTGATTGCACCGATCGGAGACTTCTTCTGTCTTGGCCATTCCATGGCAGCCAACTTCCAGTCACTCCCCTTCACGGTCTCGGTCAAGCCATCCGAGGAGAAGAAGTTCGGTGGTGCTGCCGCGTTTAATTGCTATCTCACCATGCCTTTCAACAAACGAGCACGCATCGAAATTGAGAACCAGAACGACGAGGCCTACTTCCAGTACTTCTATATCGACTACGAACTCTACCCAGAACCCCTGCCCGCGGATACGCTGTACTTCCATGCGCACTGGCGCCGTATGAACCCAACGAACGGATGGGCACCATCTCGTATTCAGACGAACAGCCTCGAGACGCAAGTGCCGAACTTAGACGGAAAGGACAATTACGTCATTTTAGAGACTGAGGGCGCTGGTCAATTCATCGGCTGCAACCAATCCGTGGCACACTTCCAAGGCACCTGGTGGGGCGAGGGCGACGATATGATCTTCATCGACGATGACACCTGGCCACCCAGCATGCACGGCACCGGTGGTGAGGACTACTTCACTCAGGGATGGGGCATGCAGAAGAACGCATACCCATTCTGCGGTACCATCATCCATGAAGAAGATGTCCCGAACTACCAGGTCAGCTACCGCTGGCACCTGACCGACCCGGTACGCTTCAATAAGAAGATCAAGGTCACCATGGAGTCTGGCCATGGCAACCATCTCCGTGATGACTGGAGCACTACCGCCTACTGGTACCAGACGCTTCCTGGTCCCAAGCTCGATATCCTGCCGGTCGAGAAGCGCCTTCCGCGCAAGCCTCAGTTCCCGCCTGCAGATGATGTGCCCGAGCCAGATGTGAACAGTATGAGTTCTGATAAACAGACCATGGTTAAGAAGCGTGATGAGCGGATGGAGGCGTTTATCAAGGACCGGAATGAGTGGCTGGCGCGTCGTGCGCAGGATTCTCAGGATCGGGCGCGAAGCAACGTGGAGATCTGCAAAGATATTCGACAGCGCTTCCTGCAGGGTTTGAGTGAGTAATCGTAAGAAATAGGGATTTTGTACTTATTAGTGTTGAGATGGACACCTGATTCATCAGGCCTTGTTTGTCAGGCTGTCACCCTACATAAGTAGCTCTCGACGCGTTTGTAGAAATGAACCTTTTCTTCTCTCTCTCTCTCTCTCTCTCTCCCCCTGGTATCTAGTAGTTAGCTTTATTAATTAACTACTACCTAACTATTACCTAGAGTGAGAAAAGTAGGGCTGAGCCCCACCAGTATGTGCCTAAGGCATCTATTGCTCTGATACATCTCGACCGAGGGGTTTCGGCAGCGGAATTATCCTCACGGAAGTACCCCGCACCGGAAATATCACGTAAGTCTGCTACATCCCCGGGGCCATGTCCACGGGCACAGGGATGGATCCCTGAAGCTCCGACTATTCAACGTTTATTGAGATCGGCATTTTATGCGCTAGTTCCCGGGACCTCTCATCTCCGGCCTTGGGTTCATATTCACCTGTCACCGTTTCACCAAAGTATCAACCCTTCAAGCTCTATTTTAAAATGGGTTTACTCCCGATTACGACCCTAGAAGCCCTCAAAAGCCGAATTGATTCAGCCTGCAGCGACCGTGACAATGGAATCCCGGGCGTTGCTGTCACAGTCGTTGGAAAGGATGGCGAGTTCATGTTTTCCCACGCAGGAGGACAGAGAGGACATGGAAGTCCCGAGCCAATGAGTGCCGACAATGTCTTTTGGATCGCGTCATGCACGAAATTGATCACCGGGATTGCGTGCATGCAGCTGGTAGAACAGGGGCGACTTTCCTTAGATGACGTTAAGGAGATCGAGCATATCTGCCCTGAGCTGAAGGACGTCAAAGTCTTGCAAGAAGATGGGAAATTGGTTGACAAGAAAAGAGGTATCACGTTGAGAATGCTATTGAGTCACACAGGTGAGTAATTGCGATAGAGGACATTCTATTCGAGTGCTTTCTGACATCAAGACTATAGCTGGTTTTGGATATGCCTTCATGCATGAAAACTTACGAGACTACGGCCGCCCTGCTGGCTACGATGAATTTTCAGGTCATTTAAGCGACTTTAAACAGCCATTGATGAACCAGCCAGGAGAAGTTTGGGAGTATGGGGTATGAATACATGATCAATAGTGACAAGGCTACAGCTACTAACCTGATGTGAACATATGACAGGTAAGCATCGATTGGGTAGGCATTGTGATTGAACGTGTTTCCGGAAAACCCCTGAACGAATATTTCCACCAATACATCTTCGAACCACTGGATCTTACTGAGATCTCTATGATCCCGACTCCAATGATGAAGGACAAACTAGCCTATATGCACCAGCGTGATTCGACCGGTCGAATCCATCCCCGGGACCATTTACTCCGACGACCCCTGATAGTGGACGACGAGATCGACGTGAAGTCATTATTCGGCAGTGGTGGAGCAGGATGTTTCTCAACCCCCCAAGATTACTGCCGTGCGTTTCTATCTTCTCGTGATATCACCCGCTTCATTGGCTAACGTCTCTACCCAGAGATTCTATCTGTACTCCTTAACAACGGGACTTCTCCAACCACCGGAAAGCAGTTACTGAAAAAAGACACCGTGGAGGAAATGTTCAGCGACCAAATCGGAAGTCTTCCACCCCTGCGTGAAAAGTACATGCCCAACGCAAAACCCGATCTGACGAACGCCTCCACGGGACTGCACCCAACTGTTGCCGGGGATCGCCAAGGTTGGGGACTGACATTCATGCTAAGCGGGGGCACTACGGGCCGTTCTATGAGAACGGCACTGTGGTCTGGCCTCCCGAACCTTTTCTGGTGGTGTGATCGCGAAAATGGTGTGGCGGGAATGATATGCGCGCAAATCATGCCCTTTGGCGATGGCCAAGTGTTCCAACTATACCAGGACGTCGAGGCGGGTGTTTATAAGGGTCTTGCAGGATCACCATAAATTGAGTACATACATACATCATCCTGAAACAAGAACTCGAAGCCAAACGCCGAGCTGGGATCTCACCCAGAGAGTATACAGATGCTGACCGCAAAGAGTGCGGAATCAGCCCATTGTTGCAACCCGTAAACCTGTATATAAGAAAATTAACACATGATGGTTGGAGTGCACCCCTCCACCTTCCATCTGTCACTTCTCTCACTTCTCCCACTTCACTCCACCCCCTATAAACCCTTCCCTACCTCAGTTTCAATTGATGGTGATGCTGTCCTAGCCAGTTGTTGGTTGACATGGTTGTCGACTTTGGCCGAGTTCTCACTTCACAGCATAATCTATTGTGATTGGCTAATACTCATCGTCTTCTACACCTAGATCCATTGCTAGTGCCACACTTAGTCACCCGTATAGTAGGGGACTCGGCCGTTGTCTTGGCATAGTTGGTTCCAAGGTTAGGGTTACCTAAGTATATACTTTGGAACCGATCTATGGCAACTTTCAAAAATGAAAGAATTACGACTGGCTGATTCCAAGATCATTGCACTTTCACCTCACTCTACAGCGAACATCATGGCCACTTTACCAGAAAAACAACCTTTCGTCGAGGACAGACATGCCCGAATGCCAGACAAGTTCCCCTCTACGTTTGTTTCGTCGACGGTACCCTATATATTTGACACTGCCGCCATTCTTGCGGCAACCCACCCCACCTTCTCGACCGCAGATCTATCAGACGATGGGTGGTTCATTTCGGATTTTTATGCCTTTAACTATCTGTTGAAAGGCTTGGGCATACATCAGGCATAGATATTACGCAGCTGATCCAAGAAACTTAATGGAGAAGTATGGTGGATACCTTCATGGCAACCCGTATGAGGATCGAGAGGTCTGCCTCGATAAAGACATGCTAGACCAACAGCAATTCACCCCTGTCACCATAGTTGGCTCAGGTGAAATGATAGATCGGGTTCTTTCAAAGGCGAGACGCTGAAAGTGTCAAAACAGCCGTGAATTTGCATCCAATATTCGATCTGGTGTAAGTGTTGGACAATCATCCCATGCATGCATGTTTGCTATCTGCTATCCGTATCGATCGGGTCGTATCCTGGCCGGATATGATATCCGGGTCAGTAATTCTGAGCATCTCACCTCTGCCCTTCTTCTGAATGCACATTAACACCCGCTGGGCACCTAGACTGATTCACGTGGTCCTGTTCGTTGTGAGATGCTTCCTCTCATTAGTTACCGACCCTGGCGGTGATATCGCAATTGGACATCCCCCCCCGGGACGCCTCAGCGTTGAATCCAAGGTTCAATTCATTCGACAGGCAGAAGACCCCGAGACTTCGCTCGATACTACTGCTTCTGGCACCGGCATCCAGGCAGAGGTGGTGGCGCAGAGGGTTTGAGGGGATGGTTATTCAGTGTGCAGCAGGTACATCAGTAAGTGACTGAGCAAGCGAGAGGCAATATTTGTATGGAAAACGCATTCAACATGTTCAGGGCTTGACGGGGGTTGCCTTCGCAGATAAGCGCGAGTATCGTTGGCGCTGTCTAGGTCTTGACGGTGAGTCTTCGGATTCTCCTTGGCATTCAAGATTCTTGCGATCACAGCCTGGGCATGACGAATGGACTTCGTCGCATTCCCTTTTGCGGATTTGCCACGTCTAACAGCAGCTCTTTCTTGTTCGCTCGTCATCAGAAGGTGGAATTATAGAGAGAACGAGTGAATAGGAAGGAAGGGATGGACCGGATGATAGAAAGACTACCGGCGCTTTGCACTTGTCGTGCCCCTGGCTTGAAAGCTCAGACGCACAACATGTTATGCCTTACTGTTAATGGGATATGAAAGGAAAACGCACTGTCAAGACCAAAGACTTGAGATAGAATATGCCGCAATCAGCCGTACATAAGGCCGATGGAGAAGTAAAAATAGGCCTTCTATCCACATGAAGGTGAGTTTCACAGATAATATTCTTGGGAACTAAACAAACATTGGACACACTAGCTTGCTTTTCTCAGAGAACGATACAGCGAGAAGGACTTGTCTTTGCTTCTGCTTGTCCGTGCAATATGTAGGTTCCACAGTGCGCATGTGTCATTACTCTTTGATATGTTTTCCCTTCCAGCAAAGAGACATTCCGGTAATACATCTCATCTTCGGACAGAGCATTTGAAGACCTTGCCGGAATGGAGTCCCTCTCGAACCGTAGGCGAGAGTCCACAATTTCGTGTTTTGCTGAAAGCGACACAGGTACATTATCAAGACGATACTTCCACTGAGGATCTTCTACACTTAGCCCCGGTCCTAGGTCCATCCATAGGGTAAGAGTGACGCTTGCATGAGTTTCATCCAGGGTTCGAATCTTCAGCTGCCACGAAGTATTACATTTATCACAACTACCTTGGTCGGCTAGGACTTCGGGGCTTGTGGTAGAGCAATAACACCGAATTTGAGAGGACAAGCTGTCGTCTACGCCCGGGTCAAAAGCTGGGATATGGTTGCAGACGATCATGAGTCCGCCTTCGCGGCATGGCCACATCCGTGGTATATTTTGTCGTGTTACCATCGCTATTTCTTGCGTCCGCATACACAGAGCCGGAGGCGTGGAGCAAATTCGAGCTTCAGCAGAGAATAGCGTCATCATAATATCTTGTTGGGTATGTCCTTCTGATGCCTTGTTGATAGGGGGCTGTAGGAAGGGCAGGCCTTTAGATCTGAGTCGGGTCGCTTTTACCTCTGTGTAGAGCAATGACTCAACGGGGATTCCGAACTCCGGTCCATGGTAAAACCTTCTCATGGCAAGCTGTAGGTGCACGAAGTGGAATTTGTAATAGGCATATGATGGGTAGTGGCTGAGGGGTAGAGGTCTTGTAAGGTACCAATTGGTATAATCTAAGGTATCTGTGCGGTGGTTGACCATAGGACTATGGTAGGTTGGCAGCCCAGCCTTTTTCCACAAGTGAAGTTGAAGGCAAATAAAGCAGAGATGGTACTGCGGTAGGTCGCAAGAAAGTCGAGATAACAGCTCGATACGTCCGTCATCCGTAGGGGTTCCGGTACGGCAGTTTGAGAAGTTCTTAAAAGCAGTCCCAGCAAAGGAATGAAGCAGATGACGATTCCCCAAGGCGAGACAAGCAAGGTCAACTGGTGATAAGTACTTAGAGATCATCCATAATAGCTCAAGTGGGAGGTCGGTCAAGGCTATTGGGTTTCGTGTGGTGGTCATCGTGGTTGCCAAAGGTATCTACCCCAACCTATCGCTTCATTGGATATCCGAGATGTCAAACAGTCGCTTGGTATTAAAGCCGATGGAGGTAAAAGAAGTAAAGGTGATCACTGGTCCTGATAGGAAAAGAATGTTGAGTACAGAAGGAAAAAGAGCGGATAAGGATAGAGAGAAGAGTATGGATCCAAGTCAAACAATAATTACCGCTCCTAGAGGAGACGGCTTAAACGTGGCATTGAAACGATTATCCCTTTTGACTTCTGACGTTTTGCCTACGGCGTGTATTAGCGCCCAATGCCGAATGCCTGATTTAATGCCTTGGTGCCTTATTTCGGCCTGACTCATTGTAACCAACTCGGCATGGAATAACTGAGCCCCGTTAACCTATCCCCATACAAATAGAGATATATCCATATTTTTGACGGTTTGCAAGTTCAAAAATGAAGCTTTTCATCTCCATACAAATGGGTATCAAAAGCTTCGTTTTCGTGTGCATTGCTTATTAAGGGATCTGTATTTGATTTTTCTGCTAGGCCAAAATCAGGCATTAAGGTATCAATTTCAGGGATTCGGCATTGAGCGCTAATACACCATCGTCGACATATCACTCGCCACTTTAATACTACTAAGTCTGCTACAGCCTAAACCTTGGAGCTTCATATCCCTTATCTGAACGTTGACTGGTTAGGTATACGGAGTGATAGGTTTCTGGAGCTACCGGCTAGCTATTTGACAATTTGTGGTTGTATATCTCCCGCCGGTGGGTAGTTATTTCTACGTTGCCACTGAGAGATTCGGGGGCCAGTACTCTCCGGCGGTTGCCAGGATTAATGTGCCATATGACTCTGATGAGCAATTGTCATCACGTGTGAATGGCTCAGCATACCCCGCTCAGTCACCGTCTTTGTAACAGAGTCCTAATTCATATCTCGTTCAAATCTGTATTGACATTCAGTCGAGTCAATATGCTCTCAGATAAAGAACAGCTTGAAACATAATGGATACCCCAAGCCTTGCTTGACTCTTACATTCCAGTGAAAGAGAAAGAAGTTGATGTGTTTCAAAAGATGACATACGATCAAAGGCGCCGTCGGTTCTTAGAGTACTTTTGATTCATGTGTTTACATGCTATATGCTAGTGAGGAATTATATGTTCTATAGATGATAATAGCTTTCTATATTGAACATGCAGGTCTTGGGTCGGGACCATCCATCCATAGCGATGCCTAGAGATGACGGTGACTTCCAACACGGTCCAAGTCATGATTCCCCAAACTCTCCCTCTGCTAGGACTCCCTGGGCTGTCAAGAGTTGGTCAACCAGACGGCGGAACTCCGGCCCAAGCTGCAGTAAGTCCTTCCACTCGTCAAGCACGGCTTCCTCGCCATCCCTTGCCCCTAGTAGACCACCTGCAATAGCAGCATTCGTGTCAGTGTCTCTGCCGAGCCTGACGATATCGATAAGAACCTGGTCGAGTCTCCGCTCATCCAGGACGGCCGCAATAGCCAGCGTCAGCGAATCGAGCACGAACCCACTACACGACCCGGGGAAGTCAATCCCTCTCGGCCCCTTATCGGCCAAAACCTCGAGGGAGAATGTGCGCCCGATCTTAATGGCAACGTGGACGGGCCCATCCGCACGGCCACCTTCGAGCGAGATAGCCACACGCTCGCCCGCCGACACGGCATCCTCGACAGACAGGTCGCACACGACTAGGGCGGAGACTATGGCGTTGTAGGCGGCACACGCTATGGTGCATCTGCTGTCATTGTGTGTGATAGCGCTGATACGTTGGCTCTCCTTGACAAGCAGCTCCGGGTCAGTCTGGAAGAGCCCCGTGGGAATACAACGCATCAGGCTGCCATTTCCGGCGCTGCCCTGGCCAGCACCCGAGGAGGATGGATCACGGGAGGAAGCAAACGAGGATAGACCCCGCCTTGTAGTGCGGCCGATGTCGCGGGGTAAGGTACCGGGCCGACGACCGGGCCAGTGGTCGCCTCGATACCACGCCAGAGAGTGCTCGGCCGCCCTGGTTATCACGTCATCGCCATTAAGGATAGCATCACGGTAGGCGAGGAGAACGGCGCGGGTGAGGTCAGTATCGTCAGTGGCAGCGCCAGGGGCCCAGGAGAGGAAGCCGCCGCCGGTAAGGGTCCGAGGGAATGCGGTGTTAGGGCCAGGGTAGCGGGAGCGGATGACGGCGTGGGGCTTGAACTCGAGGGGTGCGCCAAGGGCGTCACCGGCGTGGAGAGCGAGGAGAGCACCGAGGGTGCGGGAACGTCGCGATGGGGCCATTTTTCCCCTATTGAATAAACTTGGTTTGGGAGATGTATCCTGAATGGCAAGTTGACTGTCTGACATATACAAAGTGCGGTGATGTGCTGGGATGAAATAAGTCAATTATACGATAAGAGTAGTAGCAGCGCTCATTTGCCTTTGCTGACTGTCCACATTTGTCTTGTCTCCCCTAGCTATAGATAAATAGCTTTTTCCTTAGTGATCGTAGATCACAGTTCAGATTCTTTGTCCTCCCTCCACTACTACCGTAGTTCATCAATATTTCAATAAAAAGAAGACATATGGAGTGATAGGGATATAAAATTTCACACCGCTCTTTTGGCTTATAACTAGTGCCAAATTCTTGCCCTAAATATAATAGCAGTCCGATGTGCTGCAACTCGGGGTGACAGAAAATTACCACGGTAGGGCGTGGCATATAGAGACGAAACCAATACTTCAACTTTACTGTTTAGGCGTAGGCACAGTAGGCGCCAGATCTTTTTATCGGGTTTGGTATATATGAAGATTACTAGATCTTATACTCATCCATGGATCTTAACCTTCCGTCGCAATTCTGAATACAACAACACACTTTGTACAAAGACCCCGTTGGTCTATTTCAGTACTAGCATGGGACCGAAGTCTTCCTTAATAATATTTTGCTTCATTCGTAATAATCAGCCGGCTTTTTGTATCGATTAGATCGACGGTAGACAAATCCACCTTCCAAGCGGTCCTGCATGATAAGTCCAACTGCCCCTTCTTCGTCCTGTATTGCCTTTGCTTCACTCCAATCAACGTCATCTGCATAATCCTTGCGAAAATTGCAGAGCGCAAAGTCAATCATGACCACCTTGTATCCACTTTCCGCCCGCGTGTCCTTCTTCACGATAAAACTTCTCGTCTTGACATCCTCATTTAATATACCATGATCGCCTATCCCCATAAGTATTTGTATAGCTTCTTCGCAGATGCTTTGCCAGCACTCTCTTGGTGTGTGGTCGGGGATATCGGTCAAAGGAAACCCTTCAATATACTCCAAAAGGATTCTAAAAACATCGATATACTGGCTGGCTGGCTGCATTTCCGCCAAACTACAGCCTGGAATTGTGATGCAGGCAAGTAGTTGAGGGATATCATCTCCTTGCATATCCCTCAAGGTGTCATATACCCGAACCTCTGTTTCATACAGATCGGATAAATGATCATGAAGATAGACTTCGTCCTGGGAGCTATTCCACGTTTCGCCTTGCTGTGCTATATCGCCGTTGTTGTTGAGTTCAGTGATGAATTGGGATGCACCACCATCAAGAACGAATTGATGATAATCGCTCTCGATGTCTGAAGTCCAGGGACGAAGTTTTTCATCTTTGCGGAGCTGTGTCGCAAAGCGTCGATCAAAAAGCTTCAATACCATGTCGCCTTCTAACGCCAAATCAGAACAGGATATTCGAACGACCATCACAGAGGAAAGGGTGAACGGTTCGAATAACTTGATGATTCTGGCATCGGTCAAGACCTCGTTATCTTTCATTTTGAGGTGTAGTTTGATCGTATTATCGACCACATAAGGACATCTAGAATAATCAGTAGATCTCTAAGACTCCAAAGGCAGGCCACCCACTGGTTTTCTTGCCGATCCATTATAATCGGGGGTTAGGAGTTCACAGCCCGTATTCTGAAGATATAGGCCCAATCAAATCTCAAGTCTCGTGGTATTCCACAAAAACCTTTGAAGCAAATATCATTCAGGTGATATAAAGAGCTTGGAGAGTGAGTGCAGTTGACATCGATTTGGCAATTATTTCAGGCGGTGGCGGTGTGAGACGATCCCCCAGCGCCAGTGGAGAGGAGAATCAGGAGATCGCGTGATGAACTAGTGTAAATACGTACTTAGTAGCAGGGTATGATATACATAGTTTATCCGGTGTAAATTAGCATTAAATTCCACGTTCTAACGAACAGCTCTAATCATAGTACCGCGGTTCTATCATACATTTAAAATCTAGTAGTTACAGTTATGTTAGAAGTCATGCTTCTCTTGCTTCCAACGTCAACGGTTTTTCGTGGGCTCCGTACTGTTGCCTAACAGGCCTTACTGCAGGAGAGGTCCTTGTGAGGTATAGAGGAATGATGCCAGGTAGAGCGCCGAGTAGATCTAGTATACCGAGGTATTCGTCTGCTCGTGAGTGCTATTAATGGTCACCACATGGCGTGGTCTGAAATCGCAAAGTCGTGGTATTTCCACTACCTGCATATATATTATGTCACCATTTACAATACCTACCTAGGTAATTTCCAAGGTTGAGACTTAGTGGAGCGATAATCAAGCATTCACTATGACATCGATTATAAAAGCGTCAACTCCCTATTATGACAGAAATTTTAACGTTCTCATAATATCATCTGTTGAACAATCATGCTTGCAAGCATGTTGTTTGCTACGGACTGAGCCTTTTACCTTTGTTTGCTATATTCAGATGGTTTCGCGGGGTATATAAACCCCTGCATTATTAGTTTTACCAATTAAAAATTCTTCTCCTGCTTTCTCCCACTCTCAGTAGTAATCTAAACCCATAGATTGCTCAACATCATCATTTTCATTATGGTCCATCCATTGGCTTCTACTGAAGGTACTCTACCTGTCCCAATTTGTCTTTTATGCGGGGTGGAGATCCATACCACGGACAATTTGGGAATACCCGCTTCAATCGAAGGAGCCTCGAAAATTGACAAACAGCATTGGACAAGACTCTGGAAGCCCGATTCGAGGCATTCTATGATATCGTCATACGAGGCAGAAAATGTCTACATCGACAGGTTCCCTTTGTTATGGTCATGCCTGTATCGAGCTCGTAAGCCCCTAACGAGTGAATTTCATTCAATCAATTCCGGTCTTCTAATTAGCTCAGTTATCAAGGATTCCGACACTAGGTACCACTTGACCGGCATCAATTCGATACAACATCCACAAGGGCCTTTCTATGCTGTCAGTGACCCAACAAAAGCAAGAATAAATGGGAATAACAATCTCGGCCGCCGTCCCCAGGTGTTTACACAATTCTATGCTGCAGATATCGGCAGACAACCTAAAAGATTGAAAGACAAGACCATCGGATTTGTGATCCATGCCCACTGTTGGACCCTGTTCGATCGAGTGGCAGGCCTAAGGTTCAACAATACCGACCTCGCTAAACTTGTCCGAATTTGTCGAAAATACTGGCAGGAAAGCGAATGGTGGGGGATATCCGTGGGATACCCACCGGGTGTCTCTCAGAGTCCGCTTATCGTGCCCGCAATTCAACAAGCCATGGCATTCACCAAGACTGATTACTATCACCCAACCTCTGGTCTCGGCATTCTTCCATTAGAGCTTAAGGTTTTGATCTCCGAATTCATCTGCCCCATCACAGATTATACAATCAGTGATGTTCAAAATTTGAGAAATATGCTCTTAGGGTTTGGATGGGAGTTACCTAAGTGGTTTTGGCGAGTGCGATTGGACGAACGTTTGTTTTTTGAGTTGAAATACAACGAGGACCCGTCAGCAGATTGGAAACTGCGTCTTGAATTGATGAGTCTTGTTGCAGATCGAAGTAGGCTCGGTTCTAGTGGTCTAGCAAACCGTGAGCGAATTATTGGGATTATGCTTGCTCTTAGGGATGTCTACACGAAGTGATACCTTTTGCGGGAGGGCGGGGGCGCGGAGTCACTACTATGTATATATAACTGAATTTCTTATCATGTATTTAGCCTTTATGTTGCTATTAGTATGCGAATCGCTCCAAACTGAAGATTAAACACGTTGTAAATATTCAAATTGGGCATCCTGGCTCCCCACCTTGTGTGCTTTCCTCTGTTAATTTCTCCTAGATCTGGCATGTATTGTAGATCGATCCTTATACCTAGAGCACACTGCCCAAGGGCGTTCTCATCTTCCCTATGTACATTATCTATGTGATATTATGAGGATTGCGTAGCTTCTATCGGTTCGATGGATAACAGTATATATGGTTCTCTTGTTCCAAGGTTGAACATTTTTCTGTTTATCTTTTATTCAGGTACCTAGGTGGGTATGATCTATGTTTTACTGTCGAACTCTCTGTACAAAGCAAAAGGAACGTGATACCTAGGTAGAGAAGGGTTGAGAATAAATCGAACGAGGCAGAGATTTCATAGGCTGCATCAATGATTATCGCGAATGTGGTCTAAATAAGCTGGATCTCATTATCGTTTTCCTCCAGATTCCAGATTTTCCCATTTTTCAATCTCTGTGAATCCGGGCTCCAATCAATAACCGATTCGCTCACATCATCGTATCTGTAAACCCTCATATATTTCCCTACCGCAACAATCCCGTAAACGGGGCTACGGTATGAGGGCCGGCGTCTGCCATGGGTCGACGATAAGTACTGACAGAGCTGATCTACTCCTTCCGTCCATATAGAGGAGCGTGTCTCGTAACCAGCTCTCTTGCACTGTACTATCAAGAACTTGTCTGCAGTGGAGGAATCTCCTCGATAGTGGAAAGTATGCAAGTCGAAGTATCCCATCTCTTGGGACTGTGCGGTATGTTCATCCTGCGGGCTTGTGATATAGCCCTCGGACAGAGGGAATTGGAAGCTCAAAATAGCGTTCCATACACCATAAAGGGTTGATTCTGGGTACGGTGTATACTCACTGAAGACATGATTATAGCTTCGCTGGAGAAGGAAAAGGAGGGGGAAAGAGAGAGGGAGGGAGAGATCTACCTATGTAACACTACGAGTCTGGCCCCTACGGGCGACTAAATAGTATGTCACCGGCACATAACTCAGTCACTGGTTATTACCTCACTGCCTTTTCATCACCGCCTGTATGATTTACCTACAATAGTCTACCCTATAAAGATTCACCTACCTCTAAATAGCGGCCAAGATATCTGCCAATTTTCTTCAAATTAAATTCAGATTCACTTCAGACTCAATTTAGATTCAATTCAAATTCAAATTACTTTAGTAAAAATCCCTATACACATTTTAGAAGGCATCGATTTATTAACCTTATAATCTAGGTATTCAGACATCTTTAAGTATCGGTAGGCTTCAATTAATAACTGCAATATTAGTTTTGTAGAATCTAAATTACGGCTGGCATAAAGAAAACCAATGAGAGAGCCAGTCCCCCGTAGACCCCCACGAGCATCGCTCTCTACATAACGTAAGACAGAATTCAGGCCTGTTAAGGGATAAACCCTACAAAATCAGGCATTTGACCCTTGGATCCAAACCCCACAACAACTCTCACTTCACCTCTCCTACCAAGCATCCCTACCTCATTCCTTCCTTCCATCACCTCACTCTTCCGAACCTTACTTCATCATTCAGCCCCATCAACACAATTTTCCAAGAGCACAATTTCTCTCGATCAGCAGAAGCTAGCTCTAAGGATCAAGCCACTACGAGAGTGGTGCGAGAGCGAATTCACAAGACAACTTGCTAAAGGCCATCTGAACGTGACGAACCGATGGACAGACGGTGACAGTGACGGGGAAGAGATCGAGCAGAACAAAGGAAAACGCGGTGGGGACAGCAACTGGAAACTGATGTCGCTGCCACCGCAGGACCAACTCTTCGACAAATCTGGCCGCGTGCTTTGGGAGCCGAAATACGTGCGTCTCGCGGACGACGCAGCGAACTTAGTCGCCTGTACCCCGAGAGAATAGCAGTACCCATATAGGCGTATATCTGGGCGGGTTCCGATACGAAGAGATGAAGATTTATATGAATATCAAAAGGTATAGAAAAGATAGAATTTTAGTTAAATGCTATATGATATTGCGTTGAAATCTGCCTAATCTGCTTCTTCTTTCTGTGTAGTGATGTAAGACGAATGCTTAAAACTACGGACCAAAACTACATACGATATACAGGTCACGGACTCATGCCCGTACATATTGTAAGTTCAATGATGTGGCCAATCATGACCCGATGTTGCATCTGTGGAGGTTGAAGGACCTGGGCTGTGACATGTGTCAGGGAAGCGCCAGGGGATATTCTGTCATGCGCTGAACATCCGATTGCCTTAGGCGCCTGACGACCAAAACTGTAAACCTGGCCTAGCCCCCCACCCCCCAGCCTCGTCGCTTCGGTTTCTCCTGGCTCGCTCGCCCTGCTCTACAGATCAGAATGGCCCAACAGCAGCATATTGAACGATCGCCTTCTTTGACTTCTTTTGAGGATGATGAAAACGCCGAATTATTTTCTGCAGTTCTATCGACGCTTGACATAGAGCAGTTGCCCCTGCTTGCGAATGCCATTCTACGGCGTCTCCAGCCCCTCCATCGAACCACCAATGCGAAACCCTCGACCGGTGAGCCATGTATGGATCTTACCACATACTCTTCCCGTTGACGTTTGATAGCGGCCTTCGCTGGATCGCGAAAATCCCCATTAACGGCACGGTAAGCAAATGGGATGAGTTGTCTGCCTCGGCCCTGATCTCCGAAGCAAACACAATGCGCCTCTTGAAGCGTGAGACCACCATCCCTCTACCTGATGTTTTGGACTTCTCCTCAACCACGCAAAACACTCTTCGATGTCCTTATATCATCATGACCTTTATTTCCGGAATCCCATTATACAACATCTGGTTTGGACACCGCCTAAAAGGCGCTTGTCCTGACACCACCCATTTACGCCGAATTCGCGCCCTCGAAAGCATCGCCTCGGCAATGGTTCAGCTAGATAGGTTTTCATTTCGAACCGGCGGCCGTCTTCTCTTTGGAGACGATGGCAACCCATCTCATATTGGGTCGATGCGACGAGTCGATCATAAGGCTATGCTTGACCGATGGTTCGTTCACAAAGATCCAGACGATGACCCTATCTATATCGAGTGTGCGGCATCTAGCGACCCGAAAGCGTACTACACCTTTATGCTCGATATGCACCCCGAACAAAACAATGTTCCCAGGGGTCTCGCAATGCTCTTACGCCAGTTAATAAGCTGGATCTCTCAGCCTAGTAGTATGGATCCCTTTGTCCTTGCACATCCAGACTTTGATATCCAGAACTTCATCGTATCCGAAGACGGCGAGCTCCGAGGTGTTATCGATTGGGATGGGATCGCTGCTGTACCTCGTACTCTTGGCAATGAAAGATATCCTGGGTGGCTTACACGCGACTGGGACCCAGCTATGTACGGATACAAGGAGTCTATGGACCATGGGGTGGAACCAAAAGGTGTATGGGAAGATTCGCCCGAATCTCTCGCCTACTATCGTGGTATCTATGATGACATAATGGCAAGGCATCGAATGGAGAGAAGAAGAGGGTCTGAAGCCAACCTCTGCCGAATGTCTCTCATTACGGAAAATTTAGCTATTGCGGTAGATGATCCTCGGTGCCGAAGTGCAATTCTGCGTAAAATGGTGCAGGAAATATGGGCTGTTGCTGAACGAGGTGGGCAACTGGATTTCACGGATCTAGCTGACATGTTCGCCGAGAGCAATGTTGATATCGTGATGATGGAGTCGCTCCATAAAGCCTTTAACACCCTTCTATCGAAGAAAGGGCTATAGGGTGCGTTCAATTACATACTCCAGAAGGGCAGAAAGGAAGTTCTAGAGCATAGATGATGTTATTGATTGAATGATATGTGCCACGATTCGAGCCTCCCTCCATGCTGAACCATGTATTCCCATGGGACTAAAAGGATTCCCACACTAGCATAACTAACTTAAATCGGATGGATAAAATGCTGAGTTATCATCTTCAACCATATCGTGCCTATAACATTAGGTGAAATTTTATGAAACGAACCCATATTTATTCATTTAATATTGTCCTGGGTCCTGGCCTACGTAAGTAAGATTCCAAGTCGAGTGATCTTCTTTGGTGGTGTAAAAAGAAAGTCATATATATCATAAGAGATAACTAGTTAGTACAGCGTAGAGCATATGGTGGGGCAGTGAGAGAGTGAGGGAAACTAGTCTAATGCGCTACAAGTACTAATCTTCTGTCGGCCTAGCCTATAAATTCTTACTGAGCACTTTGTACGTTCCTCCTTTTGAAAGTCTGTCCTCTCCCCACTTTCTTCCAACCTCGGGCAATTGCTAGCATCACGTCCCCACGCTATTATCATCATGGCAGCTACCCAGGTTACAGTGGAAATCTCCGTCATTTCCCCCACCGAACTACCAGTCAACACCTCCGGCGAATCCAATCGGTCAGACAAGTGGTCCAGCTAGCAGTTTTTAGGCCCTCATAACCTAATGAAGAATCTATTGAGAAAGCCTATGGAGAAAACCAAGCAGTGAGATTCGTTATGTAGTAAATAGACGAAGGAGAGAAGAGAGAAGGAGAGAGAGAGAGAAACTATCTACAGATGGCAACACTTTCTCCACTGCATAGTTACAGCCTCAATTTTTTTTGCTAATATATTTCAATTTAGACACCTACACGACTGTACCTAATCCATGTCTTCGGGTCTGACTGAGGCTACGGCATCAGCCTTGGGAGCCAACAACTTACTTCCGTACAATTTCAGCATATTCTTGCCCCTTGTCGGACCTGCAATGTGCAGCAGTTTGAATTACAGGTGGGGAAATTCCTTGTGGGGGTTCATAGCATTGACGTTCGTTCTAGCGCCTGTCCTCTTTTAAAATACGGAGAACAGCTCTGTACGAAGGCGAGCACGTAGATTGAATTAACTCAACTCTAAATATGCTGACACACCATAAATTTCAACCACCATGTTACACCATCGCCTCGCCACCTCGTATAAAAATTCATCCATATTGTTGGCTGGGTCGAACGATGTCTGTTGCTTCCTTGCTGTCAACAAGCCTCTCTGCAGAAGTCAACATACTCCAATCATCCAAATCAGTATGTGTTGGGAGTTCGGATATATTTAGAGGCCACGTCGCAGCATGACTCAGCCATTCATTGTGTAGCTCGTCCAGCTCGTGCTCGGGGGCATTCCGTTCGTGGCCAGGAAAGACAGAGCTTTCAAACAACAATTCAACATGTTCATGATGTGCATGATGTTTATGGTTTGGCAAGTTAGGAGTCTTCCTCACTCTAATTTTTGCCATCTGCAAGAAGGTTTTGCGGCTCTTGATTCCGCTGCTGGTGTTGCCCAAGGCATCGAATGCTGGCTGGGAAGTTTGCGAGAGAGCGATGAGTTCGGCAACCGAGCCCCAGCTGCGTGATGTGTGTCTACTGCGGATGACGTATATAACGTGGGCAGTAGCCATGATGAGGTGAGTAAGGAGGACTGTCATGGCAAGATATGATGTCAGAGAGCCTTTGAATGAGAAACCACTTATTTTCATGCTCGCCTCAATCGTTGTGAGATTCTCAGGGCTGACGGCGGGAATTTTCAAGGCAAGCTTATTTCCTAGAATTTGTTTCTCAAAGTCAGGAAAAAGCTTGTAATTCGCTAGCGGCCACTGAGAGCTTGCTCCTGAAGTATTGAACGCTCGATAACTTCCGGTACGGCTTAGACCGTCCACAATCACGCTGCAAATAATGGCTTCAACGAGAGCAACCTTGGCTTGACTACCGGACCCTCGATCAAGCCAGCCTGCGGTAGTTGCATTTGGAAAGGAGCCCAGGCCAGCATTCAGGAGAATACTCTCAATCGTGGATTGTCGCCAGGAGCTGATATCAGGAGAGGTTGTTGGGGGTGTCAGGAGATTCAGCCAGTCATCCCCAAGAGATATTCGACCATTACTAGAAGCCTGTGACGTGGCGGACCATTCGGGCGTGCGGTCGGCATATTGAATGTTCCACGGGTACCATCCGGTCCAGAAATTGTATTTGTTGGTGAACACCGTTGTCGGGACCCATCCAGCTTGAGCCGTACAGCCGACCACAACTCTGGAGGCCTTCTTGGATTCCCATGGTGTCTCAAATACTGCTCCAATACTAGCTGCGCCAAATTGAGCTGACAGATGGACCCATTGAAATCGCAAGTGATTAACAGCAGTATTGTTGAGACTGTGTACGGCAAGTGGCAAGCTTTGGGCGAAGTTGAACCGGCCATTGATGGATGGGAATTTCACAGCGTTGTCTGCGCCCAGCAACTCCCGCGGGTTCGCGCAGCGGACGACACTAATCCCACTCCTGACATTGGCAGAAATAATCCGGTCACCAACGTTATCGGGAGATATGTCTCGTTGTGATGTCAAAGCCTTCCACCAATCGGTAGCGAGCTTTTGCAAGATCACCACGGCTGCTACATGTGGTTGAATGAGTGTTGTTGCATCGGTGTCGCCATTTTTGCTGTTTCCTAGCGCATAGAGAGGGGGGACTTGAGACGAGGGACTGGATACCGGCCAATAGAAGTTCGAGCCAGAGAGATCATTCGCATAAGAGCGAACGTTGTGCGTGCGAAAATTGGTGGAATTGACAGTTCCCCAATGCTTCCACAGGGACTGAAACCCACCCGCAGGACAGATTCCCAGAAGAGTCGAGTCGTTGCGGTTGCACAATGACCGAAGCGCCGATAAGTCTCCTGATAAGTCGGCTGGCCAAAAGTCACCCTCTGAGCCATTCAAATAAAAACGAGTGCCTCCAGCGGCCAGGTCCTGGGATTTGGGCACGAGGAGGACCGCACTTGCGGGTCCAGCCAGTGCAGCCGTGAGTCCAGCCACGACGACTACCATGACAAACATGACCTTCCTGGGTTTATTGCCACGATCACCAACGTATTTCAACGTGCCATAGAATTCTTTCTTAAAGAAGGACTCGAAGTTATTGAAGGTTAAGCCAGAGCCTACCAGGCCGAGGGGTAGTCCATCTCCAAAAAGGAGCTCGGATCGGACGAAATGTAGAACAATAAGGCCGAGGCTATTCACAATCATGATCTCATGAGCTTTTGCAGCCAACTGGAGGAACATGAGATTGATGGTCTCGGATCTCACCGGCGACATCAGATCGGCTCCCAAGTAAACGCCTTTCAGGGCCAAGGTTATGATTGTAATGGTGACCAGGATAGTGACTAGGTGACAGGTACAGCGTCGCAGTGCTGTAAGCACCGATTCAGTGATGATGACTTTTGGAGGCTCTTCTAGTTCATCGTCGAGCTTGCTGGGAGAGCTGTCATCGCTTTTAGTTTTATTAAATGCATCACGAGGTATCCTCATCCTTGTCGATAGTCTGCCCAAGAAGAGAGAGGACAATATAGCTCAAGAGGAAAAGGGATTCGCGTGGAGAATAGGAAGGGAGCAACGAACGAAGAAGAGATAATGATTTGTTGATTCAAATGAATATCTCAGCTAAAGGTTTTTTTTTCGTTTTCTAACCTAGTCTGAGTGACCCTTATTAATATTATATTGTTCACGATGAAAGACAATGTACCCGGACAGGTTAACACCGAGTTTTGAGATTTAAAATCTGTAATGACTGACTATCACAATTCCCGAGACACCCTCACATGCACAATCTGAACCATTTCCTAGGTTTCTATGAGGAATTTCCTACGTGGGGCTCCGTCTGCCTTCGTACTCCGGAAGTTATGATAGGTACCTGGGTAGTATGTTATTTATTCTCTTTCATTATAAGGCTGGTCCCCTTCGACGTTGTTTTCTACTGGTCGGTTTCATTTCCCCTTTCCTCTAAGCCGCAATCTGCCACAAACATGGTCTAAGTATCACCAATTAGGGATCAAGACCATCATCTATTTTTTCTTTTTTTTTTCACTCTATGGCCCATGGGCTTTGTGGCGTCTGAGAAGGGTTACCCCTGTCTCATCTATCCGGTGGTCTGATTTTGTTGGTTACGCAGGCTTTCTTCTCTTTCTTACTTCCTCTCAGTAGGGAAACATCATATTCTGGACGACCAAACAGCCACTCTATCTCTTTAAAAAATCTCGTCGTGGATATGTTCAGGACGTAAGATTGATTGAAGACTGGGAAGATTGGATCTCAAGATCTGCGGGTCCGCTGGCCCCACCGCCCTTATCATTGGCTCCACCGATCCCCAGATGGATCTCCACATAAAATACTCCCGATGTCCCTTTCATAACCTAAATCAACCTCTCCCACTCATGATACACAGATACACGTCATTCCTAATCTTTGGCGCTCGCGTTGTTTCGTGCATCCGAGCTCGATACGCTAAGATATATGCCCCTTTGGATTCTGTGACCATCCGACACCCGTCCTCGTTATTGCGCGCCGACCAGAGAGCAATCAAGTAAATCGTCTCTCCCCCTATACCTTCCGCTCGGACAACTGAAAGTGGACATGGCCAATTTCTTGCGCCCCCTGCGCTTTGGTAGAATCTCTCTGTCGACCACCGGTCTCTTATTTTACACCTTCTCCCTCATTTACCTTCTCTCCCTTGGCTACTATCATTTCGCCAGCTATCGAGATCCCACATCCTATTTCTTCAACCCCCTTCGGGCCTACGAGCGACGATATTCGTCAACCAGAATTGCAGAGGCGGAGGAACTTTTACGCGATGTCGGTACCACTAATCAACCAACAAGACCGGAAAACGGGATCCCTACGATTTGTGTTGGAATAGCAACTGTACGACGGAGGGGAGAGCAATATGTGGGCTTGACAGTGGCATCCCTCCTGGCCGGACTGACCGAGTTGGAGAGGGAGAGCATCTTTCTGGACCTTCTCATCGGCAACGCAGAGCCATCGCAACATCCAATTTATTCGGAGAAGTGGGTTGAGACGCTGCCAGACCGCGTGCTGACGTACCAACAAGACAATCCCGATTTTGAGCGTATCAAAAATTGGGAGGACGGTGGCTGGTATCGAAACAAGACAATTTACGACTATACACATCTGATGCAGGACTGTTACGATACTGGCGCAGAGTATGTGGCGATGATCGAGGACGATACGTTAGCGGTCAAGGGCTGGCTCCCGTCCGCCTTACAGGCCCTCGACGATATCGTCAAGGAACGCACTGCAAATGAGAGATGGATATACCTGCGACTCTTCTACGTCGATGACCTCCTTGGCTGGAATTCGGAAGAGTGGCCGAGATATTTGGCTTGGTCGTTCGCGATTTGGGCATTGCTTACAGGGATGATGGTGGCTGCCAAACGAGTATTCACTCATGACCCGAAGAAGTTTCCAGCCGGCGCGATTTGGACCACGTCCTGTGTTTTCATCCCCGCCGCTATTGCGCTCCATTTTATGGCGGGAAAACAGACAATGTGGCCCATCTCCCCCGGTATCCATGAGATGAACCGATACGGATGCTGCTCGCAGGGCCTCGTGTTTCCTCGTTCCATCATACCTGACTTCCTTGAGCGGACAGACCTGACGACTGATTGGCTGGTGGACATGATGGTAGAGAAGATCGCAGATCACGAGGGCTGGACACGCTGGGCGGTGGTCCCGTCCTTGCTACAGCATATCGGGGTTACTAGTTCCAAAGGATATGGGTTTGATGATTCGGCGAAGACTCTATGGAATTTTAGATTTGAAGAATACCCCTATATTGGTAGATGAGAATCACTCTTGTGCAATACCTGAGTTCTTGACGGATGCGGTAGCCATGTTATCTTGACTAAACACATCCTAAAGGGACTAAGCGAGATAGGGTAGTGAGTGGTTGAGAGGGCGAGATCGCACGAGACGAGAGTGGCAAGGGGAATTCGAGGTGGCCGGGGGGGACTTTATAGAACCACGCACGGCGTGGAGGGGGAGAGAAACGAAGGTTGGAGACTAGCCCAAAAGGCGTAATTTGTGGAAGACAGCTAGCACGATCCCGTTACTAAATAATCTAATTCCCTTTTTGATAGCGATAGCGATAATGACGAAAGGAAACCCTCTTATTAGGGACCTGATCTGCCTAAGCTCGCGATGATGGATCGTACCCCTTATATGAGAGATAGAAGTACTGGTCTCGTCTTATTGCTAGCTGGATATATAGTCAGATCGACTCTGTAGAATAAGCACCGGAATTTGTCAAAAACGCCGAAGTACGCCAAGGTGATGGATGACTTGCCTAAAGCAACTTCTTTTCTCTCTCCCTGTCAACTCCATACATCACGAATATATGTGCATGGTTTCTCCATTTTCTTCATCGTGTAGATTCTACATCAGTAATAAACTCTGAACCTTTTCTTGTAACGGCCTAGTATCATTACCTTTCTTGTTTTGTCTTCCATCAAATTATAGGAATCTCAACTGGTTCCGTAATCACTTTCTTTCTACTCACAAGCACAGTAGACCAGCAAATCGAAAAACCTCCACGTTTCATTTAGCGATAAAACTATATACGGTCTTTGTATTCACATAAAGGAACCGGGGAAATCAGATATATTCATCCATAAACCAACCAGCAGTGGGCTATGGGCCCCCTACCTTCAAAGACCAACTAAGCCTATGGCCCATTAGTGGGGGCCTATGAGGGCCCCCCAACAAAGACCATTTCTATACATAAATCCCGTCTTGGCGCTCATAAACCTGCTGAATAATGCCTGTTTTTTACGCATGTTCTAGTCTGTAAGCTTACTTGGAAGATCTCGGCCCGCTGGCCCTAGTCTAGCCTAATACGGGGGTTCAATGGGTTCAATATGCAGATATATATATTTCATATAGACAGAAGTAGGTATATCTTCAATGCGGGCTAAACTTTGAAAACTTCAAATGCCACTTTAATAATATTAAAGAATATAAGTATTATTAGTAGATTTATTAATCTTATTGATTTTATAAATCTCATCCATAGTCAATTCTACCAATTGATTGACTTAATTCCTATAATGACTCGGTTAACTTAGGTCTTAGGCGGTAATTTAAATACTCAAAAACACTAGAAGAATCTGCATTACTTATGAATCTGCCAAGAATTGGCATTTTTGTATTGTTTGAGGCCCATTAGGCCCCCATAAAAGCCTAGTGGGCGTTTATCCTAGGCCCAAGGCCTATCGATGGGCCTAAGGACTGGCCCAAAGACCAGCCTATTTGCGGGTTGGTCCGGGTTGGGCTATGGGCTTTATGGGCCGGTGCGGAGGTCTAGGTGAGACATGACTTTCCTAGCTTCACCCCCCCCACTCCCCCACCTAACTTTCCTCCTTCAACCAATCACACTCATCATCCATCTATCCAAAATCAAGCATTCTACCAATCATACTCATCGCTCATCTATCATATCCCCTTCTCAACTGTCACAGCTGATAAGGGCGCCTTGCTTCTACGACTCTCCAGACTATCCCTAAGTTCGCCCCAACTTAGGTGGTTGACAGAATGTCGTCATCCTTAAAAGCGGTGAGTTCACATTTGTCTACTAATCTTTTCGTCTTATCGATACTAATATTCAAGCTAATCGTGGCACGGCCCACCACCACCTACCAGGTGTTGGTGGGCCCCACCGGATAGCAAATTTTCACCGGATAGCAAATTTTGTCAATTTTTTCATCTTCTTACCTATTTTATATCCTACCACCATGTCGGATCAAAATGAAAACGTCGAAATCCGGACCATATAGGCCGTAGATGCCTATGATCAGATAGATAAACCCAATTTATCTAAATTAGCGCGGGAATTTGACGTTCCCTACGGTCGGCTACGCGGTAGAATCCACGGGCGTAAGCCTAATTCTATCATTGTAGGCTGGAGCAAAGCATTAAACCCTCTTCAAACGCGAGCAATGTATTCCTAGATCAATTCTCTATATAAAGCCTATACCTACCCTACCCCTAAGCTTATTGAGCGGGCTGCAAATAGCCTGCTTAAAGACCGGGTAGTTGGCCATACCTAGGTCTACCGCTTCATCGATTCACTACCCCTAAATATGCTCTATATCAACCCTAAACCGGCTGAAAAATCGAGGGTTAATAGCGAGAATTTTGGAGAATTATACCTATGGTTTAATAGCCTCTGGGGGGTAATAAACTAATACTAATTCCTTCTAAACGAGATCTTTAATTAGGATGAAACCAGCTACCAAATTGGCTAGGGGAAACGATAGAAGGTTGTTGCTCCTATTAGTAGGGGTAATAACCCTACCGGTAGTTATAATGAATCAATTACCGGTATTGAATGTATCTCTACTTCTAGTTGGGTGATAATACCTTGGTTTTTACCTAAGGGTTCTATCTATATAGAGGAGTGGTATACCGATATCTCTACGCCTAATTTCCGGGTTAAACTAACCCTAAATAGCTATATCGATGATGAAACTACCTTTAAATGGCTCTATTCTTTTTATCTAGCTATAATTAGGCTAGTTTAGAAAGGTAGACTAAGGCTTTTATTGATAGATAATCATAGTTTCTATACTACTATTGAATTCTATGATTTTTATAAGCAAAAATTCATCGTTCCTTTCTTCTTTTTATCTTATACAACCTATCTATACTAACCGCTAGATAGCTAGGTATTTTAATACCTAAAATACTACTACCGTAAGGCTAATAGTAAGGTTGTTATATAGGGTGGAAGTGCGTCCAAAAAACGGGATTTTTTCCGGATTATTGAAGATACCCGGAAGTAAGCTTTAACGTTAAGAACTATTAAATCATCCTTTAAATCTAGGGGTATTTATCCCTTAGATCTAGAGGCTATTCTTGGTCCTTTACGTCAAAGAGATCTTGATACCGAGGGTGATGAAATCCTCCGTTTTTATACCCCCTCCCCCCCCGAGATCCTAAGCCCAGTCACCAATTTACTACTAGATACAATTGAGCGGGTTAATAGGCTTAATACTAAGCTTATTACCGATATAGATCAGATAGAGTATATTTCTCAAAGGGCTAAGGGTCATATCTAGCGTAGCATGGATGCAAATATCCTTTTGGTCTAAGAGCTTGGTCTGGTAAAGGCATCTTTAAAGAAGGCTCAGTAGCATAAAGTTGCCGCTACTACCCTAAGAAACCGGAAATCAATTCTTAGATCTAGGCGTACTGTGCTTGGCCCTGCTAGTGCAAACCGAATGATGAAGAAAAGGTAGGAATCAGATTCTAAGAAGCTCGATCGGCAGCAAGCAAAGCATGCCAAGATTTTAGAAGTTGAAGAATAGGCTCAAAAAGAGAGGGATTTGGCCGAAGATGAACGTGAAGCTGTAATGGTAGCTAGGTATGGCAATGGTCCAAATTGGTATATGAACAGCCATGGGAGTTATTTGTAAATAGTGTTTTAGTGCATTGAAATTGACAAAATTTGCTATCCGGTGAAAATTTGCTATCGGTGGGGCCCACCAACACCTGGTAGGTGGTGGTGGGCCGTGCCACGATTAGAGGATAGATCAAAAGCTGAATGTTTACGCCCAACTTAACCCAACGGACAAGACTAGGGACTTTCTACGTGAATTCTTCAAGATCCTTTCTCCTAACGGACGGAAACACCTAGCGGATAACGTTTCTAAGTGTGTAAACGACGAGCAGCTTCGCCAACTAGTCCGAAGCGTCGAAACTGGTTTATTGATTCCTTTAAAAGCCCAGGGTGGCAAAACGCCAACTGATATCACTCCGTCTCCGCGCTCTGGGCTTGAAGATTCAATCGAGGACCTTAGGAGCGAGAACATCGAGCCTATCACTAGAGGGACACAATCGCAACTCCAGCACCACTGCTTAGAAAGAGATGGCTATAAATGTGTTGCCACGGGAAGGTACAGTGGCAATCATGCCCATCCACATAATGCACCCACAACTTATCTCGAGGCGGCCCATATCATTCCATTTGCACTTGGATCTTTTCAGCCAAATGACCGCCAGGCAGTCGATAGACAGGCAACGATTTGGGTTAACCTAAGGCGGTACTTTCCAGTTCTTCGCCAGTTATCTTTTACCTCAGAACAAATCAATTCGGAAAAGAACGTCCTAATGCTAAGCATGATGCTTCACAAGGAATTCGGACAATTCAGAGTCATTTTTGAAGCAACCGGGGTTACTCACCAATATCGCATTAAGAGCTTTCCAGACGCCGTCACAGATGCGATACAAAATTTACCTAGGAATCGGCTTGTCACATTCAGAGTTCACAAAGGAAATTGGGAACTTCCAGATCCCGAGCTTCTCAAAATTCACGCTTGTATTGGAAACTTTCTGCATATGAGTGGCCAGGCGGAGAGTATCGACAAGGTCCTGGAAGATTTCGAAGATTGTGGTGGGCTTGCCCCGGACGGAAGCTCCAACCTTGAAGATCTTCTTGCAGTGAGCCGCCTCTCACTGCTACCCTCGAATGTCAACGAAACGCCCGATTCCAAGAAGTCTACAGAGCAGCAACGGCCTATCGAGCAGCAAAGACGCCTACAGGAGAAACGTTTTGACATTGAGAATCAACCATGGGGATGCTAAATTGCATGATCAGGGAAGCGGTTGCCACGGACGTATGGTCTTTGAAATAGATGGTTCGCAGTTAGTTCCTAGGAATTCAACTTACTTGCTAGCCCGAAGTGGATTTTGATATATATTGTAGGCATCGCGAGACACCCTATCTCCTAGGGCTTCCTTTGTATAGTGTAGATAGCTTCCCTTCTCTTCTTCCTTTTCCTCTGTAGAGTCCAATGTAGATTTTTTTCTCTATGCTTTATATTTCTCTCTACGTAGCCTTCCTTCCTTCTATTAGGTTATAAGGCCCTTGCTCATAGACTCTAAGTATCTTTAAAATCATCAAAATTATTGAGACTTTATCTAAGTGAATTAGAGTTTTCGAATTTCGTTACCCCATCTGTCATCATTGACCCACGACCTAACAATCTACCCCATTTCTTCTACGTTCCGCTCTTATCTGTTGAATTAACCTAGACCCTGGCCAAGATACCCACTGCGTTTGATCGTCTGTCGCGTCGTCTCGGCGAAAGGGGCGCAGCCCACGAAGTCGCCCGCACCCGGAGTATTACGGCCCTCGATAAAATCTACGAACGGACCGAAAGCCTCAAAGAGGCACAGATCAGCGCGTCGTCCTATGACTACCTTGATATCGAATTTGAGACGCTCCAGCTAGATGAGCACGGCAAGACTGATAACCCAACTGTCTTTTTCTACCCCAAAGGCGTTTCCTGGGTCCCTACTCTCTGTGTGACAGACGTGCAAGGCGAACAGCGGCTTAAAGCGTTTACCGATACCTGGGATGGTGCTTTAACGCATCCTTTCCTTGAAAACCTGGAGTCCCAGGTCTCCTATCTTTCCTCGTGGCTAGAGCATATGTTCAGTTATTTCCAGCGAGAGATAGAGCCTTCTGAGGATAGCGGGCCTCGGCGAACTATCAGGCAGCTAGCGGAGTGGGTCCCGAGGTAAGAGAAGTTCCTTTCTGACGCGACATAGATCTAACTATCCTGGTCACGACTTTAGGGATAGCTTGACGCCATCAATCTTCGCCGAAAAGTTCTATCTCACGATTTGGAGAACAGGGCAATTCACCCCAGGCGCGGCATTTGTGTCCCAGAGGAAGCTCGCATCGTCGGAGACAGGCACACCACCACCACATACGCTCATCACTCTCCTACTCTCAGAAGAGCCTAGTGAGGCGCTCTTCAGGGCAGAAATATTAACCGTTACTGCCGCCATGATCACGCGCCTAGAGGGCGAAGAATGTAAAGAATACAGCATCGTTCCCGTGAGTAACTACTACAGCGCACCCCTAGAACATATTCCAAGCTAATACATACATACGCATTGTCACTATATAGGTTATGCTCGTTACAATTCTTGGGCGAATGAAAGTCCGAGTCGTCCAGGCTCACACCAGCGGGCAAGCACTAGTCGTGAAGAAGACTAGGTTGCTTGACTTTGCAACCAGTCAGGCAGCAACAAACAATATCGACATCCTCCTGAGTCTCATGGGGTCCGATCACGTGGGGTATCCAACAGATCTCAGACACGTTCTGAAGGTTTGTATTGTACTAGCAATGTTCGTGGCTCAGTAAAATGCTGACTATTTGGGCAGGGAGACACGGGGAAGAGATCATCAGGTTTTCGCAAAACCATTCGAAAAGTTGGCGATATGTTCCGGTTCGAGTCGGGAACTTCATCAGACGCTCGGGAGAGCCGGGGAGCCACCAAACGCCCTAGAATTCCAACCGCCTGGAAGTAGAGGCTTGGAGAAGAATTGTCCACACCACTCAATTCACCTGCGTATTTGTCTAAAGGGCCGATTAATATAGGCCTTATTAGTAAAGGCCCTACTAATATAGGCCCTACTAGTAAATACGCTATTAATATAGGCCCTACTAAAATAGATATTACTAGTAAATATAATTTGATTCTAATAGTAATAAACGGGTTTACTAGGTTACTACTAGTTTATAAGTTATTACTGGTAGCTTTTAGGTCGAAAAGACTTAGGTATAACCTAGTGACCTAGTGAGAATGTCACGTCCTGCACCATGCAAAGCAAGGTGCAGAACCCGCCTGGACCCGAGATGACACCTTCAAGGTGGACATTCGGAGGCCTTCGGGGACCTATATAGACATATCAATGGCCTACGAGATATATGGGCCCAATGCACATGATCTCGCTTAGGTTGCGCACATTGCATAACTAGTAGATTTGGAACTATGAAAAAGGTTCGTAGTTCAGCCTGAATATATACGCAGTGCTAGTTGCAATTGCTTCGCAGTAGTAATTCGTATTGTATATGCCCTTGGCACTCTGATCTTACCCCCCCTGAAGACCCTTCATAGTAGGTCTTCATAGAGAAGCTCACTAGGTTAAGAAAAAAAGTATCACTCCAAAATTTACTAGTTCCTACTAGTAGCGTGGTCATTACTAGGAAATTTTAGATATCGCCACTAGGAAAACACTCCATCATGACCTGGTGACCTAGCTAGATCAGATGTACATCCATCGAAATTATCACATGCAAATGATCTACCCAATAATTCCTGGAATTTACTAGTAATTACTAGTTAGTAAATGCTTACCAGTAATTACCGCCAACTGGTGACCTAGTGACCTGGCCAGCAAAACGCCGTTATATGCCACACTAGATCGTTTGATAGTTTGCCTCTTTCTTTGTTCCTTTGTCTCCTTTGTTTGCTTTGTTTCCTTTGTTCTTCAGATTGCTACTAAGCCTAATCGGGATGGAGATGTTGTTTGCTTGTAGAGATCCTCTTACTATAAGAACCCCCCAGGATCTCTCTCTCTTTCTCTCTCTCTTTCTTCCCCATATTTGCTTTTTTTGGTTGGAATGCACTCTTTCTTCATTGATTGACCTGGCACGTAACAGTTGCATACCATTATGGTGGAGCCTGCCATTGTTCAGTAATGACAGCCTCGAATTCGTACATCTTCAAGTTCTCCAGAAGCACAAATGATTCATATCGTAATCCTCGTCCGCGGTACTTCGTTTCGGACGACTGCTCCACGGTTCCGTTCCACACACCGGCGTAGCCATCGAACAGTGACCGCCAGTAGCAGGCTTCAGCGGCCGGGGTCAGATATCGCTCACGGAAGGTCGTTACGCTGTTGTTGGCGATACGCTTAGCGGCTTCGGTGTTGTTAACCAGGGTTTCCATCTTTTCAGATAGGTCACTGAAATCGCGCTCAACCTCGACGTAGTTTTGGTTAGGACCGTCTGCTACTAGAAGATAGTGGTGATGTTGGATGAACTGGATTTGTGTGCGACAATGACCGAATTGCAGGCTTGCCGATATTTTAGTGAAGCCGAATAAGACCGACCTAGATAGTGTGTTGTTAGTAGTGTTCCCGTGTCTTGGTAGAGAAAAAAGAACCAAACCTACCTTCAACATACGCAATAAACATATAGTGGCAATGGTCTTCCATCCTAAGCACGTTGGAACCCGTATTCCAATCAACCTGCTTAACATCGCCCCACGACTTGTCCCTAGCGGCCTCTATCAACGCGCGCCGCAATTTTGGTGCGAAACTAGGCTTGCCGCGCCAGAGTAGTTTGGGCTTTTTTTCTGACCAGGGAATATCCATTCGCTCGATTCGTTGTATCACCTGGTCATAGGGCCCTATATAATTGCTGGGGTTGTCCCATGCCCAAAAGCTGAAATCCGGCATAAGCCAAACACCTTCTTCAGTAGGAGTCCGTGAAAAGACCCAAACAGGCCATTCCGAGTTAGTCACATCGTCGACCCTATCTTCCACAGAGAAAATAAATTCAAAGTAGGGTCTAGAAGCTCGTTTCTGGTCGGTAGCTAACGCACGATAGATTAAGCTCAACGTCCCTAGAATTTTCCGTCGGTGATCCTCGCACTTAGGCCGCGCCTTAACCACGTATAGCTGGCCATCGGCGATAAATACACGCGCCATACCATAGTTTATCGTGATAGCGTCTAGCTCTATAGACGACAAGCGGCCATACGAAGACCAGAATTTGCTACTGCGCGCGACATCCTCAAATAATCCGGGGAAAGCAGCTTTGCATTGGTCCTGGCTGAGGGCCTCATTTCGTCCGTCGCGAGTATATTCAAAGGACCAGGAGGTGGAGGTAGAGGTGTCTGATTGTGGAGCGTGTTCGTAGCAGGTGAGGCATGTCGAGCATTGAAATATGGTGGAGGATTCGCAGGTGCAGTGTCCCGCGGGGATTAACTGCGTGAGAACGGGGTGGATGTATTCTCGGTCAGAGTTCATGCCAAACCAAACGGCGATAATGGCGATAATGGCGATAAAGCAAAATGCGGCGGCTATAACGCACAGAAGCAGCCGGCCGCGTCGCAGGCGAATGGGGAATGAGGCTATCATGGTGAAGATCCTGACTAACACGGCAGGCTCTGGAGGTGTCTCGGGGTAGTTTGAAGGTGAACGAAGAGTTATCTTCAAGTATCTAAAGTGAGAAGAAACATTGGCAAGGGGAAGAGAACAGGACCGATCAAGGTAGCCCTGAAAAATACCCCTAGAAACGGTAGTGGTATCAGACCATGAACGTTAGCCTACTTTTTTTCGATCCTACATTGTTGAGACTAGTTTCTTCCCATTGAGTTTCTTCGGTGTTCCTTAGGTGTCCCTTCGGCATCATTGGATCCACATTCTGAACTACATACGGAAAGACTATTGTGAGTATTGGTGTGCCTAGGGGATCCTTATATGGCTGCTATAGGGGGGAGAGAGAAGGAAGAATCTCTGGTCATTCAATCTATGGAGAACAGGGTATTTATGCCCTAGATTCTAGCAAACCAAAGCACAGAGTGCCAACAAAAACAGGCATCTATCGGTGATAGGATCATTCAACATATCCTGCTGTAGACAGACCACTGGTGGACAGCCTCAACGATCGAGCAATTCTTATCTGGTCATGCCATCTCTTGTCCCTGTAGATCATTCCTGTAGTGGCTTTTGAGAGGACCACCCATCGCAATACTAGACAAATAAGTCGCTGCCTATATCACAATTTTCCGAACTTCCCCCAGCCTACGTGGGGCAAATATGTTTAAATGGATATAAATCAGATCATAGATGATTAGTCTGCTTGAAACACTGGGATAGGTTGAGGATAAGACATAGCGAATGGTATCAAATTATACATAGGTAGCCGCCATCTTGCCAATTATTTATAGATGATAACTATATAGAAATTCCTAGTATATATCGTAAGGAGTCAAATGGGCATGCTTGTATTAAAGGCAACCCTTATAGTACAAGCACTGAACCATGGAATGCCGGACGAGGTGGACCGAGGACAGGAACAACAGGATGCGGGATTTCAAGACCCGCTCGTAGATCTAGCCATCTTAAGGATAGACTAGGTAACTGTTCTCTGTTGGTGCTGGTCCGGATAGGAGAAAAGAATGTCAAGAGGGTGCCGCTCGGCGGTGTTGGTGGTGCAGCCGGCACAGTATATCGAATTTTATTGTTCCTCGGGGATTAGTTAAGCCGCTTTGGATTAGTTGCCTAGGATTGTCTAGTGGAGATTGTCTAGTCGAAACAGCACTTAACGGCGGCAGACCTTCTTGGTACAATACCCTTGGTACAATACCCTTTATGCGGTGCCGTACCGGCACCCTCTGCGGCGGCCAAATTTGACCGCCCTAGTCTCCGCCCTTATTACTTATGTCTCACATATCAGGCTTCCAGGCCTACACTCCTGCCTAAATAGGAAACAGAGCCCGATATGAAATCAATGCAGAAATCGACGAATCTCTCTGCGAACCCTTATCGGCCTAGGAGATCCTCCTATGTAGTATCTTCAGGACTACTTCTTGCCGTTACAATATATGATTTCCTCGACACTTAGCATTTCTTGAGAAAGAATTAAGCATCGGTAAGCGCGAGGTCTTGATAAATAGAGTACGAGAGAAGCATTCTAAGACAGTATACGGAGTAGTTTGCTCTTTTTTACCTACTGCGGTATGATCCATTTAACTATTCAAAGGGGGTTTGATCATTATATCACGTAGCCACGCGATAAAGTGAAAATGGCTGCCTGCTAGTGTGGACTTGGGCCTTGGCGAATTGCAAAATACCGAATTCTGCCGGGTATATAAGTTCTAGGTGGCGCTATCGTCAGCCGTAACCCGCTATGCGGCACCTTTCCTCTCCTCCGCAGCGGATTAGTGACGACGTAGTATCGGGCTCGATCATTTTCCAATACTCCTAGAAAAACCCTGAACCGACTAGTTAGTTTAACTTACCATTTTGTTATTCCCAAATTTTCGCACCCTATTGAGTGATTATTAAGCAGACGGCAATGGTGGGCCGAGGAGCTCTCTCTTAGGAGAAGTGGTGTTGCGACATGAGGCTAGTGCAGATGCAGGAACCATGTAATCTACTACGTTGGAAATAATTCCTAGCCTGTCTATACGAAGAAGCAAAGCGATTGAAAATCAACTTGGGCTTTATGCTATATATAAAGCCTGCTGTTTTCCCTGAGATATAAAAAGGATTAATAATTGATCTGAATAAAAAAGTGTTCACTTATAAATTTTAGGCTTCTCCAGAACCCAACTTTGGACGTTATCTTGGCATTGCCAAGGACCCAAGGACCCAATCCCGACCCAAGTCCTTGCATAAAGTATTATTTAGGAATATCTTGGCATTTTTGCTCATTTTACATATTGATTAGTAATATGCCTGGCGGTCGACCTACAGTTTATCAGTCCTCGAACGCTATAAAGGCTACGGCTTCGGCTTAGTATCCATCATCTTACTAGTTCAAAGGAAGAGGAAGAGACTCAGTTCCAGTTGATCAACCAAATCCTAAAAGGAGGGATCGAAATTGGTGATATTGAAGACTATAGAAGGGTGCTTCTTCACTAGCATCTTCGTCGACATAGGTATATGTTCTGACGGTATGTATCATACTCTAATTTGACACGTTTCAATTTGACATGCTCCAATTTAATATACTTTCATATTATACTCCCTTTTTATATGATATACTAGTAGTTAGTTAATTAGTTAAGGCTTCAATATTACTAATAGCTCCATAATTAGTTTTTGTGTAGTGAGAATGGATCGAAAATACTGCCTAGCAATATAAACCAATGAGAGAGTTGCGCCCCGGTGGCATACTCAGTCGCCCGTATACGGGCCGAGAAACGATGAGTTGTTTTCGAATTCCCAGGCAAGTAAAAGTACGTAGTTTTGAAATTTTTTTGTATTAAAGTAGCACCGTAGTCACTCCATGCGCTACAAATCAGGCTACCGTTTTGGCCCCTATAAGCCGCTGTCCGATTTTCGTCGCCAGCCTAGAGAATGAATGTTTTGCTCGCTTCTTGTTCCCTTCTTTCTCTCTTTCTCCTTGGCCAAGCGCCAATAATAATCGGTTCCTCCTGTCAGACCAGGCAAGGCAGTTTTCGAGAGGGGTGGAAAATTCGCAACCGGAAGACGCCCACTTTTCATGGTCGTTGAAGTGATACCACCAAAAACGCTAGCTTGAGCCTTATTCGATCCACTTGCGATCGTTGCTACGACGCCAAAACGCAGGATGCGTCGTCCAACCAGTGCCACAAGTGCTTACGATACCACACGAGTGCTTCATTATATCTCTCGTTAGCCTTAGTCTCCAATTATCACAGTCGGGTGCCTATATATTGTAGAAAGCTGCGGATATTACGTAGAATGGTGATAGAGTGAGTAAAGTAGGACTGATACGATCATTGGGAGAGGACTCGGGGGAAGGAAGAAGACATTCCCAGAACTCCTATACTGTATGGTGTTTGTTGGCGGATCGAGAACAGGAGTTGTGGAGATACAGTAATTGATTGAAACTAGAAACTGGAGAACTGGGGAGAAAAGAGAAGAGAGAGAGAAATACAGAGAGAGAGATATGGAGACAAACAAACAACGCATGCAAACAGTGCATGTACTAGCCTGACAAACCAGGCAGCAGTTCGCTTTAATCGCTAACTCTTTATAACATTTACTAAAGTTAAAGTAACCAAAGAGTCAACTCAGGTTGTTCTGCACCCCTCACTTGAACACCGCTACCGGCCCCATGAAGAAGTTCCGAGTTGACGTTGCTGTTGCCCAAGAACAAGCCAGGAAGGCTGGTCTCACAGCCGGCAAGAGGCCCTACTCCGATCCGTGTTGTTTATGCTAATAACAATGGCCGAATTGTGTACTGTGGTGTTATAACGCATGCTATTTTTACGAGCACCAACCAGGGTCAAGGCTTCTTCCAGCAATGTGAGTGAGTGAAAGGATGGGAGTTCATTGGGCTGGTTATCTCAGATCTGAACGCAATATATATACATGTATATCGTGGGACTAGCACACCTCGATTGGTCTTTCTTCTATCATCTCCCCGTTAGACTAGCAGGGTCATAATGCCGAATGCCTACTTGCCTTGCGCTCGAACCGTGTAGATGTTTCAGATTGGGATTGCGCAGCACTACCTTTTGCAAATGTCAGAGGCGAAAGTAATTCCAAAAATGCCACCTTAGGCAGAAGTGTATTTCACGCACGCCAATTGACTTAATGAAATATTCGCCCTAAAAGTGACATTCCCTTACTCCCACTTTCCTCCACAACAGGAGGCTAACAGAACTAACAATCAATAATCGATCCCCATCGCACCCCAAATATGGGTCGCCAGAAAAGCCAAATCTTCCACATTGAGAACGATGTCCCTCTCCCAGGGGTATTGAGCTGCCCTCCGCCAAATTTGATGAAAAGGAATCAATAGAGGTTCTCCCGAAACCGAAGCTGTCCTGTGAGCTCCTGTGATTTCAATATGGTTGACCCGTGGTCTTCCTATATCCGCATCCCATTCCCACTTATCGATTTTCAAGAGTGGTCGATCTCGCTTGATCTTGATAGTGATCGCGATATTGGCTTGACCCCCTGATGGGTCTACCCACATCTTCGCGTCGGCGCGAAGCTTCGTCTCGGATTCAGACACCCCCACTTCCAAAACCACCGCGGGCCTACTAGATCCTTCACGTGGGCTTATCATGGGCGCCCAACCTTCATCTGGAACTTTGCAATTTGCACCCGCGTTGACCTCCACACCAGCAAAAGACTCGAAATCGCGGCCAAGCTCCATGTCCTTGAGGGCCTCTTCGATGAGAGTATTCATTGCGCGGGCGGCGCAGCGGTGTTCCCTTGTGGTCATTTTGATTATGAGAATTTTCGCAAATCGATTGTACTCGTAGAAGAAACCCAGAGGTCCATGATTTTTGCGATTAACTTCAATTTCTTCTTGAAACGCGGAGGGCTCAATGTGAAAAATGAGATAGTTTTTGTTGTCGTCGGTTCCGGGTAGGAGGTTATCACGGTAAGCAAGGCTCTGAAAACAAACTTCGTGGGAAGGAGCCGCCAGTGCGTGGTTCAAGTTCCTAAAACGTGCAGTTTCATAATCTAAAATCTTATGAAACTGTTGGCTTTCTCTGTAGATGTATCTAGGAACAGGTGGAGGTAGAGTCTCCAAAAAGAGCTCCGTATCATCGCCATATCTGGCAACACGGGTGTCGGATTCAACCATTTTTAGACAGAATATGGCTTTCAAGGTTATTTTATCGTCAATATTATTAGTACTGCATTCTAGTACGATCACATGTGAGATGCGTGGATGAAGTTTGAGGATAAATGTTCTTAAATGCAAGATTAGCTACCTCATAATGATGTACCAGCCTAACCCACCAAATGGGCTGGGTCTCTTGGGGCTATAGCACATCACATACATAAATATCAAAAGGGCGACGGTGATAAGCTTCTGTGATACACTTGGATACCTCGAAAGTGATACATACCGCGTCTACCTAGGTTAGTGGACAGCATGTATTTGTTTCAGAACTGTCCATATCAATAGTTTAAATCTCCACTCATTTGATAGCCTACGCCCCACCTAGAACATGTCACATGATGCATCTACGTCCACCGTCCTTCCATTCCGCTCGCCTATATAAATCCCAGCTTGTGACCGCGATAGTTAGTCCGCTGTCACACTTACTTTCACATTCTCGAAATACTTCTCATCTCATTGTTAGATATGCGACGTTTTGAGAGGATTTACGATGTCGTCGAATCCGTTGAGGATTATCGGATTGGCGGTTATCACCCTGTGCATTTGGGGGATTTGTTTCACCAGAGATACGAAATCATTGGGAAATGGGCATTTGGTCAATTTTCTACCGTGTGGCTCGCAAGAGACCAGAGGTTGGTGTTTAATCGTTTCTCAATTTACTACATATCCTAATACCCTTCTTTCTAGGCTACAAAGAGATGTCACTTTAAAAATTGTGAAAAGTGCCGTCTCGGAGGATAGCAAAGAGCTTTCTATTCTCAATGAATTGTCGCATTCGATAACACCTCATGCCGGCAAGGAGCATGTTATCTCGCTTCTGGACCACTTTGAACACGAAGGCCCGAACGGCTTGCACCTTTGTCTTGTGTTCCCTTTAATGATGTCCGATGGTGAGGCAATAACAATCCGTGGGAAGGCTCGCAATGTAAGCTTTGTACGGGCAGTATCAACACAGATTATCCTTGGCTTGGATTTCCTTTATCAGAACAATATGATCTATGGCGGTAATATCTTGGACCATAATTTCAATAAATAGAGGGTGTACTGATTATTCTATTAGATTTGCAACCCGCTAACATTCTATTCACCGTAAAGCAAGCCCAGTGTCGGGATTTTTTGGTACCTCCAGAGTTTAGTCCCGTTCGTTGGCTACCTGGAATCACGGCAGACTCCAGTGCTCCGCGGTATTTGATGACCTCCTAGCGACCCCGTGGTATGTTGGATGATACAAGTTTCTTATCTTTGATAGTCAAAATTGGAGATTTGGGCGGAGGTAAGGTTGTAGTCTCTTATTCGAGATTATCCTTACTTACCACATCAACCCGTAACAGCTATCCGAACGAATGATTTTAGTTCTTGTCCTGTTACTCCTCTAGGGTTGAGGGCCCCCGAAATTATCGAAGGGCATTTCTGGGATGATAAGATTGATATTTGGGCATTGGGATGCTTGGTGTGTATCCTTGGATTCTTGGTATTGCGTGTTATCAACTGACTAAACTATCTAGATATTTCAGCTTGCCACGAACGAGCCGCTTTTCCCTTTGATGTCATTCGGCTGCGTAGCTGAAGAAATGCGCGAAAATTTGAGAGCTCTTATTCAACATATTATGGAAAGAGGCTACAAAAACTTTGCCATGCATGTTGGCGAAAGGTTGCCATCTGATTTTGGTTCAAAAGATATAGAAGAATTTGCCTCTTTTCTGGCGTCGATGCTTCAACAATCCCCGCGACGCCGAAGTTCTACCAGTGCGCTTCTGAAACATCAATTTTTAGTTTGTTGAACTGTTAGGGGCATGTCTTTTTGGCGAGAAGTCCCGCGAGCAGAAGTGCTATCTTTGAGATAGGGGATTGCTACTGCGACCCCCCCCCATGTCTAATTCGACCCCCCTTTATCTAATCTGACCCCCATGCCTGACCTTCCAGGCATCTATTCCTACTTCTTACCGATTAGCTCACCACCCTTTCTCACCGCGTACGAATTAGATCACCGCCTAGTATTAATACTATTGCGTGTACGAAGTATTGAAGCTATTCATACTTTGTAGGGCTATACCCGATTAGGAGTACTAATACTACCCCCTGAAATACCATCCCCTACATACTGCCATCTCCTATATTACCACTCTCGTAAGGTAAGCTAGCGTAATGACTCGAATAACACGTGTTTAGGAAATCAGCCTCTATTTCCCGATTAGGATAAAATGAATAAAAAGGTAAGTTCTACGAATTAAAATGATGAGAGTGGCAGGGTTCGGCGATACGGATCAATAGCAGAAATGCAGCGCAACAAAGGACGGGAAGCGGGAAAGTGGATGGGGCGGGACAAAAGCAAAATTCGAAAAATTCGAGGTGGCCGAAGGGGAGCGGGGAGGAAGGGGAGCGGGGAGGGGGGGAGGGCACTTTATAGAACCACGCACGGGATAAGAGACGCTAAACCCCGAAGAGTGGCTACTAGTCCAAAAGGGTAATTTGTGGAAGAAATTCTAACCGTCCGATATGGTGTAGTGGCTAACATCGCCGTCTCTCACACGGCAGCCGGGGGTTCGATTCCCCCTATCGGAGATTAACTTTTGTTTTTTATATACGTTGGTGGCAGAAACTAGTCAGCAACTAGTATTGTAACGATTCACTTTTTTAACAGTGAACATATCTTCATACTATGCACATGGCGCTAAAGGTGCAGCTATTCTACTCAACTGCATACCACCCGCAAGCGGACAGTCAGTCGGAAAGGACCAACCAGACCATGGAAATCATGCTACGGCACTGGATAGCTACGCACCGCCGGGAGCTCTGGAAACGTGCGCTACCAGCGTTACAGATGGCGCTCAACGCCTCCAATAAGCCGGCGACCGGCTACTCCCCGCACAGACTAGTGTACGGCATTGAGTTGAGGCATCCATGGAACCTACTACGACATGCCGACCTTCACGACAAGTTCGCCGCGCGAGCGGATGCGGAGCACTCTCTGGCATATGCAGCTGCAGCAATGAAAAGGACATTCGACAACAAGCATAAGGATATCCACTTTAACGTCGGAGACATGGTCTACCTCAAACTCGGAGACGGCTCCAATATCATCGCTAACAAGCTACTCCCCGCCAAGCTTAAACAGAGATTTGTCGGCAAGTTCCGCGTGCTCGAACGGGTGAGTCGCCTGGCCTACAGACTGGAACTCCCGCCGGCTTGGATTCAGAAGAAGATCCACCCTGTCATTAGCGTGGCCCATCTGGAACCTACACCGAAAGGCGAAGATCCTTGGAACAGGCAGCCAGCTGATACACACGAACCGACATTCGACGATCGGTACTCAGAGGACACCGACAGATACGACGTCGAACGCATCCTGGCCAAGGAGACTCGACCATCAAGGGGACGTCCTAAGGCGGACGGATCACGGGCGTCGACCACGTGGTACCTCGTTAGGTGGGCTGGGCAATCGGCCAATGAGGACCAGTGGATCCCAGAATCCGAGACTGAGGGTTGTCACCTTAATTGGGTGGGTGGGAGGTGCCACTTCGCTTTGTAGAGGACATCATATCCACAAGTCTGTTGTGTTCTCATGTTAGTTCCTCCTATACGAGAAAGCATCGACGCGTGGTAGAACGGCCGACAAAACATACGCAGAAAGAGACCACTAAGCCCGTGACGACAAACTCGTCTTCTAGGTTTCGGGTACCAAGTTTGACATTGCTGGTTGGAGAGATTCTGAAGAGGAGACGTTGTTGATGAGGGATATGGGATCTGACAAGCTCTTGTTTTCTGTCCTAGATAGACTTGTAGTGGCTGAAGTTTGAGGTGTTGAGAGGAGGGGCGAGCAAGATTCCTTTAGGCGGAGTGTTGTAGAATATTTATCCCCGTTTTGCTGAAGGTAAGGGCCTCGTGAGATGAGTATATTGCCTCGCCTACGCCGCGGCTTCACGGGTACAGGCTTGAATTGCGGACCAGTACATCCTGTTGGCGACATTGTCGAAACCTCAAATCACTTTTGAGTTCATCACGATACAAGTGATCGTTCATGGATCTGCTGATGTGCCTTATCAATACAAGTATTGAAGACGTAGCGTGAAAAGATGCGAAAGGCCACTCTAATGACCATAACATATCTAACAAGAATTAAGGTTGAACCCGGAGAAGATGAGGATGTGGAGGGAAGGTGGAGGGGGACAATGTAAGGAAAGAGCTAATGACAGGGGAATGATATATAAAACAAACTACAGAGGTTACGTTCGGGTTATTTATACCGCTATGGCAACCGATATGGCTCATATTGAAAGACAGGTATGAGCTATGCTGTGATTACATGCCACGCAACATTCATGGGATTGTTCTATCATCGACCTGCGGCGATATAAAAAATCAAGGTGATTCCTCACCCAACCCGAACATTCTAATAGAGTTGTTCCAAGCACTGGAGAGAGAAAAAAATTGAGTTAGCATCAAACCGAGAATCAGGACGAATCGACATCTTACGCTTCGCAGACTTCCTCCACAGTGATACCCTTGACGCTAGCAATAACATGAGCAACACGAGCGATGGCGATAGGCTCATTCCGGCCCTTCACCATACACCCCTTCTGCCATTTTTCCTTCTTCACAGCCTTCGGTAGATCCGGTACACCACCTAGGTGCTTTGCAGATGCATGAGAGGGGCGGATTTCACACTAGGAGAGAAGTTAGTCACAGCTGACCCGACCAGAGCTCAGAGAAAGGTACATACCCATGGCCCATCAGTTTCGATTTGGAGCCGGTCGAGTGGAATAGCTTTGACAACCTCCAGGTTCTCCTCGGTCTTCATACTGCACCCGTTAACACCGACGTCTAGGCCCAGCGCAATCATGCGGTTCATTTCATCCATTGTCCCCGTGAAACTGTGCACAAGTCCCCGCTTGGGGAGCTTGGCAAGCCTTGGGGCAAGGAGTCTCTCAAAGTCCTCGCTTGCAGCTCTGGAGTGGAGGAATAAAGGGAGCTGAATCTCGACAGCCAGGTCTAGTTGAGCTTCGAAATATTTGAGCTGTGGCTCCTTGGCGCTCATGAATAGTCGGTCATAATCAAGGCCGATTTCGCCGAATGCGACAGCCTGGCCGGATTGTGTAGATTCAATTGCTAGAGCGCGGAGCTTCTCCAGCATTTTTGACGGACCTTCAGGGTATTCGTCAAACAGCTTTGCTTGGCATGGATGCACGCCAACGGTTGCATAACAAAAGCCAGCTGCAGAATCCCGGTGTTAATAGGAAAAGGGAAAGTCCTGGCAAGTTCCGAACTTACGGTATTTGCTGGCGATGTGGACAGCGTGCTTCGATTCTACAAGATCTGAGCCTGTTACCATAAACTTTGAGCAGCCTACATCGCGAGCACGCTGGACAACGTCATCGAGATCGTCTTCATGGGCCTGCTTTCCATGATATTCGCCGCGGAAGACAGGGTCACTCAAGTTGATACCAATCTATTATTTCGCAGTTAGCTATGAGTTGCGTAGCCTTTCGAGGGTGAGGCTCTTAAGAGAAGGGGACCCACATCAACATATCGGAGAGGTTTAGATTCGGCCATATTTAATATGGTCTGTTGTTTTCCAGTTGTGGAGACTGTTCTGGGATTTCCAGCAGAGATGGAATTTACAGAAGACAGACCAGCCAGGGTGTGACTCTTATGAAAACCTACAAAATGAGTCAGCTCGAGCTTTTCCAAGTCATTCAGTCTTTGCATGACTGAGCTAGTTGATAAGCCCGTATTTGGACACGAAACAGACCTAAGGAGACAGGTCTATCTATGCCTGTTGACTTCACACTCGACGTGATATTGCGGCGGAAATTTTTCAAAGCACAGCCAACTGCAGAGTTGATTTGCATCAGATGAAGAGTAGATATCCTTGTTATTGTGTTGTGGGAATGCTTCCTCTTGTCGAGCACAAAATGTGTGTTGACTCACGGTCGGAAGATGTTCAGCCACACTAGGGCTGAGGTTCTCCTGTGGCTGGAGATAAATGATGCCTGAGAATTCAGGCGTCAGATACCAGGGACCCACTCGGAGAGATATCCGTAGTCCAGTCGGTGCTTTGCCGATTCAATACACATCATGGTTTAGTTAGATGTCTCCAAATATGAGTGATTCTGTGTACCGCCGCTCAGATTGAAAGCAGATTCTTGTCCTGTTTGTGAAATACCATTGATGTTTTGACATTTTTGTGCGACCAACATGTGTGGAGCAGATTGCGCCAAGACTGAACATTGGAGAGACAATCCAGAACACTGAGGTATCCCAAAGACATACAAAACCAGGAGATCAGACACAGAAAGGTGAGTTCACAACGCTCCACATAGGAAGCTAAATGCTCGGGTTGGAAGCTTGGGGACACCGCACAGTCCGGGGTAAGTCCGGGGGACATTGCCGAGGACCATCCCCGCCCCGGGTCCTTGCTGAGTATTTAGTTCGCTGTGGATGGCTACTTCGATTTCATATCCACCTCATCCACTCTCCTTCCCAGTTTTATAAAGAGGACCACCATCGTTTAAAATCGGCCTCGATTTCCTCCCGGCTAATCGAAGACCCTGTACGCTTATAGCCCGTCTGACAGCAATGGCAGACCAAAGACTTCTCTCTGCTCAACAGATCTCAGAACACAAAACGCCTGAAGACTGTTGGGTTGTGGTCGACAAGCAGGTGTGGGACGTGACCGACTTTTTGGAAGAGCATCCTGGAGGATCTGCAAGTACGTACACCGAGATATGTATCTGATGACGACATTTAATAATGTATGTCACGAACAGTTATCCTAAAGCATGCAGGCAGAGATGCAACGAAGGCCTATTTAGAGGTGCACGCACCCAGCGTAATGAATAACAATCTCCAACCGGAGAAGTTCAAGGGCGTCCTCGATGAGTCTACAATTGACGCCGAGTGGGCCAAACCACCACCAGGGCAGAGTCCCAAGGTGATATTGGAAAATGAGAAACCCCCGTTGGATACACTGATCAACTCGCACGATTTCGAGGTTGTCGCCTCGAAGACCGCCAATAAGAAGACCTGGGCATTCTACTCCAGCGCAGCTACAGATTTAATCACACGGGACGCCAATAAATCATGCTTTGACCGCATATGGTTCCGTCCACGAGTCCTAAGAAATGTTCGTTCGGCAGATGCTGGGACGAATATCCTCGGCGGAAGTTACAAGCTCCCGCTGTTCGTGAGCCCGGCAGCAATGGCAAAGCTCATCCACCCGGATGGAGAGTGCGCCATTGCCAGAGCCTGTGCAAACAAAGGAATCATGCAAGGAGTAAGCTTATACCGTGCGTTGCCACTGTCAGTCACTATGCTTACGATTTGGGTAGATTTCAAACAACTCATCCTACACTATGGATGAGCTACGTGAGGCAGCGCCCTCAGCTGACTTCTTCTTCCAACTATACGTCAACCGGGACCGAGAGAAGTCCGCCGCTCTACTACGCCAGTGTTCAGCGAATCCGAACATCAAAGCCATTTTTGTTACCGTGGACGCCGCATGGCCCGGTAAGCGTGAAGCCGACGAGCGCGTCAAGGCAGACGAGAACTTATCAGTGCCCATGGCACCGTCCAAGGCGAATAACGATAAGAAAGGCGGCGGTCTCGGTCGCGTAATGTCTGGGTTCATTGATCCCGGGCTGACATGGGAGGATTTGCAATGGGTGAAAAAGCACACTCACAAGCCGGTGTGTTTGAAAGGCGTGATGTCAGCGGATGACGCGCTGCTCGCTATGAAAGCGGGGCTTGATGGTATCTTGCTCAGCAATCACGGCGGTCGCAATCTGGATACCAGTCCGGCATCGATTATCACGCTGCTAGAGATCCACAGGCGCTGTCCAGAGGTCTTTGATCATATGGAGGTTTATGTGGATAGCGGTATTCGGCGTGGAACTGACATCCTCAAGGCTGTTTGTCTGGGCGCAACGGCTGTGGGGATGGGTCGGAGCATGCTCTTTGCTACCAACTATGGCCAGGAGGGAGTAGAGCATCTGATTGACAGTAAGTTATGGCTTGACATTCTGCTTTTATAGTTTGCTGATTCAATTTTCTCGCAGTTATGCAAGACGAACTAGAAACATCCATGCGGAATATTGGCATCACATCCCTAGCGGAAGCGTCCCCTGATCTCGTGCACACTGGGGATGTCGACCACCTGGTTCCAGTGTCCCGCTCGCACCCGTACGCTCGGGCCATAGCTAAAGGGCGGCGACCGGGGCCATCGAAACTTTGAACATATACAGTTGGGTATAGGATATTGCACTTTTGCACTGGGATTGCGATGTGGGTTGACCAATAACATAGTGCCGGAATGTGAGCCATCTACAATATATATTAACTTTTGAGGGCATACCATACAGTTATACATTACGCTATACCAGTTGTATCCTAGACAAAGCAATATTAGCGACGAATAAACTTGCCTACCTACCAAGTACGGAGTACTCAGTATAGAACTCAACAAAAGCCCCTAATCTAGGGATGAAAGGGGAATAATTCAACCAAATTCCTGCCAAGACTTACAGACACTTG